ATAGATTGCTTCGACGTCCGCGTACAAAGTTCAAAGCGACAGTATCAAACTTACTCACCGCGATCTATGATACACATGAACATCCGCACGCTTACGACGAAACTGACACAACTCGAATTAGATATTATTCCGTCAATCAACGAAACAATGGCAGCTCGAAGTAATAACACCCTTTCTTCGGTGTCGAAATTCATGAAAATACGCGCGCGCTATCGTTCAACGAGAGCATTCGGACAGTTTCTAAACGACAGCGAACGTATAAAATATACGAAATCTTTTTAACAGTTGACAGAATATCGATAATATCGATAATATAGTATAAATAGAGAAGCAATTGTAATCTCGAGTAAAGGTCCACAATATTCAGAGATAACGCGGTCTAATTCTTTCGTATGTTTCACTTCGTTCTCTGAGTATCTCTGAGTAATGTTGTAGACATGAAAACAATCTCCAAAGATCATGCTGTGTCCACTGTTAATTCAATTTCGACGGGAACGTAACAACAAACCTTACTCGAGATCACTTTATTCTTAACATAGAGCTAGAATCACGACGTTTTTTCCTTGAAAAAGGCGAACCTTCAGGCGAAAAAATTGTTTTCCTTTATTTCTTCGGGCGGAATCATGTTGACTGCATTTACTCGCAGCTAATTCCACACGCGGATCTAAATCAACTTACAAGTTGCAAATGAAACATAAGGAACGCATTTCTGCCGCATCATTTTGCACAGTGTACAAATGTCAGAATTTACTTTATAATTATGGTGAATTATCGTAACTAGCTGGATAATGCGAACGAGCCGAAAGAATTATAACGCAACGACACACGTTCGGCATATTCACACATTGACGAGTCAATCGATATCGTTCAAGTTGAAATGCAAAGAAACACGCCGATTATGAGCAGTGTTTTTTTGAAAAACTTGTTTCCCGAGCGATTGCCTATACTTCCAATTAACGAACGAAACCGTGAAAACGAGTTTCCTTCTCTACGAGTACCTTGAATATTGAAACTCGTCAATGCTTCTCAGCATACATGAATCTCCAACGATCTTCCAACGACGAGCGACCGAGGTTGAATGAAATTTAGAGTGTGCCCGAGAACTTTATAAACATAAGATGAGAAGCCTGAGATTTCTGAGAAACTATGTACATACGAGGAGTAAACATCGCAAGAGCACATCGTCGCGCAGTCATCGATTCAACAAATTATGTACAAATTATTCAGATGTGACGAATATATTTAGTAGCTCTTATATTGCACGTGTAATCACGAGCTTGTGGCTGTTTGCACGAATGATCATGTCGTTGGTCAATTATCATCGCGAAATCGACGACGTGATAAACTATGCATTCGATTGAGTTTTGAAATCGGTTGTTGACGGTTCGAATTCGACACGCGCAAATAAACAAAGAAAAAAAAAATATAAGAAAACATATAAAAGTAAGGATAAGGGGAACATAATTGCTATTTTTGAAAAATAACGCTGCATCAGCTATGTGTGGCGTTTCGCAGTATCAGCGACAAATTGTTTTATAATATATGTAAGATAAGTTCTCTTTTCTCTTTTCAATTGCAGGGATGAACGATATCGAAGGTTAATGATAACCAAACGCGAAAATTTGCGCGTCACTTTTCAAAAAATGAGTGATACTTGAACCCAACGCCACACCCGAGTCGAAGGAGCGAATTTATTCAGAGACAGCAATTATTATGTTGGAAAAAATATGGTAATACAAAAATTTGCATATTTCGCGGACGCGATAATTCAAAGATCTTGACATTGATGCCAATGCTAATGATATCGATTGGAAAAATTCCAGTATAGCATCTTATGAAAATATTTAAGCATCGACGAATAAATTATATGTGTTGTAGGGAACTTTTTCAGATGCCATTAGCACTGTATCGTAATCTGAAAGTATATATATATGCACATGATATACATATATCTTCGTAGTGATTAACAGTCGATTATTCATTATACTGATACGTCTCGATATTACATTTAAGATGACAAAATGTTAATTTTTCTATTCGTACAACATATTAACTTTTTACTAAATACCTGCGCCTCCTGTTGTAATGTAATGTGTGTAATAAATGAGCATGCGTAATCTATGTTATAATATATATTACATGATATGTGATAATTTTTAATCAAATAATTACACGTTCGCAGTGAATATCTTACAACTTCCATGTACATTTTTACAGATTGACTTTGCCAACACTGTGATTACATCCAAAACTAAATTCAGGTAGCAAGCCATCGTTTTCAACTGCTATGAAGTTCATAAATTAAATTATTGGGACTCTAAATGTAATTAGCAAGTTTTTGTACAATTTAAATAATCAAACTGTCCAATTCGTTTTGGAGTAGATCATCGCCGATTTTTTCAAATTAATTTCAAACGTACTTGTCGATAGGAGCAGCAAGTGAAAGATACATATTTTCGTTCCTTTATCTTTAAAACAACATCCTTGCACGATGATGTCCGAGACAATTACGAAAACTATGTATAGTGGATAAAGTTATATATGCTCCAATGAATTTTCCAGAATCCGCTTAGATTACGTCCCTCTTGCTAAATGCATTCACTGATAACGCAGAATGATTAATACCATTGCAGCAGCACGCGCGCAAAGTTCAATGGATCGTTTCATGCGAATTCACTGTGGAATGTAGATATCGATATTTTCGAATTGATTCTGAGCTCGATAGAGTTGGTCGAAAATAGGTTGATAGAGAAAAGCGCTTAATAGAGAAAAAAAAAATACCGACTCAAATAACAATGATACTATATCTTCGTATCGCTTTATTCTTATCGATGACATTCTAATAACTAGTTTTAAAATAACGGAATTTAATAAGAAAATTGTCACGAGCGTCTTGTGCAGTTTCTTTTTTTTTTTTTTTTTTTTTTTTTTTTTTTTTTTTTTTTTTTTTGATCTTTTTTCCTACGCTGAAACATGAATTTCAAAATAAATGTTGTTCCTTAACAACGAATAACAATACGACAAATTTACGATACTGAATGAAAAAGTAACTAAAATAGCTGGAATAAAAATAGATCGTGGTGTATTTGTATTACAAATACAATTGGAAAACAATTAGTAATTTTAATGATATCTATTTCTATCACATTGCTCTACTATCTGTATTTTACTTGTTATCAGTTAAATTCTTGTAATCTACGTTTCGAAATATCGATAGTCGTCAATTTCAACTTGACTGTGTGTTTCTGATAATCGAGTTACACTTGTATTTCCTCCTCACACACAAACATTCCGAAGTCTTCGGCAATTTTCCCCGATTTTTATCTTTTAAACGAAAGCCTCTTTTCACTTTCACTTTCGATATTCACATTCCAAATAATTCGGAAAAAAACAAAGGATTTATTTTCCACAGTCACATTTAATTTTAGGCTGCAATCGACATCTAGAATCATATTTTACAACGCAAATATATCGTTCACGTTCTTTTCAACAACCTGTGCTTCAAGGTTCAACCTTTGTTTCAAAAATTTACCGAAACGAAAGTTGTTTGCTTCGAAGCAAAGATTCCAGCTGATCATTCCATATGAAATTATCATTCTATATAAAATTCTTCAAAATGATTTTTAAGCGACACGCAACGGTGCATTATTCAATGTACACCGAGAAATTTTTCAACTTACTTTAGCTCTGCGCAAATGGACTTTCTACGTCGTTTGTTACACGCAGGCTTCCATCGTTCGAAATCTGGAATGATCATGCAATCTCCGACTTCCTTGAAAGGTGCGAAGAAGTAGAACAAAACGGACAGCTAAAGACGAGTTTGACTCGCTATCTACGAGCCTCCAATAGTCTAATGCTTCGATCTTTAGACCCAACACCAATAATTTCGTATTTTTAGTTGTTCAACGTAAGAACAAATTGATGATTCACTTTGTCAGTGAGTTTCTTTTTTTTTTTCCGTAAATAAGTTGGTTACATATAAGGAACAACTATGCTTCGGAAAGTGACGAGGGAAAAAGGAAACGGTACCATTCGAGTATAAAAGATGGTTAACCTTATTTATTCAGCAGTGAAAGTAAATCCTGAATCTCAACTCCCGGTCGTCTTTGCCTTCAAGTCAAATCAAATGCTTCCGCATATTTGACTTTGCGGATAATTTTCGATCGCCGCTTCTCCCATTAGTTAAACGAAAAGTATTGAAGAACGGGGATGGTATAATATAATTTATACGTGTGTATACGTACATACAAAGATAAATCTTCAATTCAACTGAAATATTTCTCCATATCTCGCTTTTTAGACAACAAATTCAATCACAATTTTTTTTCCCTCGCTTACTCATAATTACGTGACACTGACAATAAACTGCGCGAAAACTGAAGATCACGAATGACAATAACTTATAGTTAATTGTTATTAATTAATTATCGCCACAAACGATAATAATTTACAGTTATTTGTTATTTGTAATTTATTATATATATATATATATATATATATTATAGTTATTTAATTATGAATAAGTTAGTGTAAAATATTCAATAGGTTTAATATATAATCTTAGGAAAGCACCAAGTTGATTAGATAATTGCTTTGAAGAAGCGTACGATCAATCATCAGTAATGAAAAAAATTATTTATTCCATTCGCTAATGAGAATCACAAATTATAACGCAATAATATAATTTTTTTAAAAATTGTATCGCCTACATTTTTCTATTCGACTTCACATTCTCTCAAACGAAGCTTTCGTGAAAATAATCATCGTCGCGATCATAACTTTATGAATGACAACTTGATCCTGAACAAAACTTCTATACGGCTTTCTTTAGCGGTTCATTTGATAAATCAGTGATTGTTTCAATGATAATTATTGGCAACTGACTTGACGAACAAACATAATCATTGGAAATGATTTATCTCGATCGAATTTTCATCGCGTTTGTCATCTTCACAAGGAACGTCCCTAAAGGAATGATAATGGAATAAATATACACTTACGAAAATGCGAGCACGTAGAAAGCAAAACTTCTTGTCGCTGTCAACTTTAACTGGTGTCAACTTTAACGTGCCAGCTTTTTCTCACAAGTCATGTGGCGAATGGGTAGAGACACATGCGTTTAAAGAGGCAGCTGAGACTGAAACTCCGGCTTATGACTACAAAAACGCGGGTAAAAATGTCACAGGCATGACCACTTAGAAATATTCACTATAACGACGTGGTGCGCGTGGCGTACGCGAAAATCCAACCGCCTACTACCGCCGATCGACTCTCATGTTCTCCCTTTACTGCCTCCCTCTATCATGTTTTTGTTCCCCCCTATTCACCGCCGATCGAGAGTGTATCACGCCCCCCCCCCCCCTCTCTTTTTCTGTTTCACGCAACAATTCTCAAATGTAACTATTTTACACTCGTTTACCCACGTAACTTACATTTACACTCGTTTCGTTAATTAAGGTTTATTCTCTTGCTGAACACAAAAACGAATCGTCATCATTCGTGTTTTAATCGATCGATTTTAGTATTTTTGAAAATAGCATAGATTCTATTTATAAAATCTCTACTATTGTATATTTGAATATATATATCTATATATTTTTATGTACATATGTATCCTTTTATATAAAGATCATGAGATTTTTAACTTTAAAAGAATACGCTCTTCTTTCCCTCTAGTTTTTTAATTGAATGAAACGATGAACATGCCGTGGATAAGTAGATCTGCGTTCCATAATCCATTATTAACTTTTCAATATTGATTCGATATTAATTAATATTATAATGAATAAATCAATAGTGAGTGACGGTCATCAAATGAGTCTAATAGTTATTAGGAAGATTAAAAAATTGAAAAATATCAAGAAAAATCGAGGTCCCGATCATTTTAGTAAATTTAAACAAATGTTTATAACGTAATATATACAAGCATGTAATATATGATACATATATAGAGTCTTCCTGTATATAAATATATATTTACATTATATTTGCAAGAATATATCAAATTATTTTTCGTCATTGTATATTTTTCACCGTTTAAAGATAAAGATCTAGAATTAATATCGTTTGTTTCCTTTTTTCAAAACTGAATTTTTCGAAAACTAAGGGTGATGAAGTAAAATAAACTTCAGAGCACAAAATGCGGGGCTTGAAATCTAACAGAATTGATTATACGTTATAATTTTTAATAAATAAAAATTGTTCGTGTTCGCGTTATTTCATTTACTTACTTGTGGATTTTACTTATTTAATTGTGGATTTTTATAGTATATGCCGATATTAGCAATAATATTCGTTGTAATACATGATCTATCTTTTTGCTCTTATTTATATTTTTTGGACCAAGAATATATAAATGCTTAATAATGTGTTCCACTGATACTATAATATTTACATAATAATTTATAATGCTTTCTTATATACATAGTTTCAAGCGCTTAAATAATAATTATATGATAATTTAAACTATGTATATTTATTAATAATTCCATTGAAATTAATTTTTATATTTATAATTAGTATTATTAGTGTTATATACATTTGATATTATTTATTTAATACGTAATTGCTACTTCATTACGTATTACTACATTAAATATTCTTTCATTCATATTGAGTTATGTCATTTTCTGTGATTAAAACAGCATTTAATAAGCGCGTGCGCGCACAGAAATATGTATACGTGTATCTCTCTTACTGTATATATATTTTTTTCTCATATTCCACTGTATATAAACACATCAAACTTTTAACACGTCTAATAAGAACTTAGTAAATATTTATAAATTATTATTGGTCCTTATTATGATAGATGATTAATTGAGAAATCTTTCCAGACCATGTATTCAATAGAGAAATCATACATGATGCTTCCACTTACTACCAATTTTTATGACAAATTTTTGTCTTGTGTTTGAAATCGATTCATTTCGATATTGAATTTTATCATACCAAATCAATGCTTGATGTTTGACCAATATCACGTACTATATAACAAAAAAAATGAACAATTTTTATTTTATTTTTTCTCAAATTTTTTACGATTAATTGCTTTCATAATTATGATTATATTGTTATTTCAAAAATATTAAAACATGAATTATTTAATGAAAGACGAGAATATTTTAATTTTTATCTCTTAATATTTCTATTCATTTCAAAATGCAATTACTACTTTTGTTTTATATCATTAATTTTTTTTACTTACAAATATATATGTGCACACAATAACAATTCCTACAATTCTTTTTGATTGCCTAATTCCTTACCATTTTTAATATTGTTCATTTGTACGCATTCTTTTCGATAATTTACTTGTACACATTCAATGCACGACTTTCCTTAATCTCCATATTACTAATTGCAATATATATACATATAGAATGATTATACTACAAAGTTCACGTAGTATCTTTATTGAATATTTTCGTAATGCTTTTTCTTTGTTGAAAGTATTTAAGAGATTTAAATATTTTTCAATGTTTATATGGAAAATTTTTGGAATAATAATAAAATTTGTTGGTAAATAAACTCAATTAAATAAACTAAGAATTTCATTATTTGAGTTCAAGCATATATAAGTTTGGAAGTTTATCACCGATTTCAATGAACTTATAGAAGAAATTGTTATACATAAAAAAACCTATTCTAATTCATTAACATGACTATAATTAATAAATACAAAACAAACTTTCTCTTGATTATCAGAAAGTAGTTACGATATAATAATCGTTTATTAATTATACTAACATCATAGAAATAAGTACTTATACTCGTATTATAAAGAGCGAATTTTGAACAATTCCAGAAGAAAAAAATGTAAAATTTATTAAAAATTTCGTTAAAGAGTATCATCGAAATAAATCTTTTTTAATTACGGCATTAAAGGATAATTGAATAGACCTTAATATCTTTATAGTAATAATCTTGTCTCAATAAGTTAGATTTTATTTACCAATGATTGTTATTATTACTTTTTATGCAGAATTAATCATTACATATTGCAATAATAAAAACATTCGATCTAATTTTCATTTACACATGACTGAATTATTTCATCACTATACATTATTGTATGTACTACTATATTATTGAATATATCATATCATGTGTATGTAATTAAATAAGGAATTAATGGATTTTTACCGTTCAAGATGCTACACAATGGAAGTTATAACTCATGATGACCATTGACTTGATTTCGAAATATTTGCCAAGCTTATGCCATTACCATGTGCCATCAGCTTCCTTATTCAGAAATTTACTTATGATTTTTTCGGATGATCAGAATAGATTGTTTTTTAATTATTTAAAGTTACTCACATATCTATTTAGGAACATACTATTTTCTCATTCATATATGTCACCTAGGCGAAATATATTTCGTTGTATCTCAATTATCAAATATTTTTCGATCATAGTATCTTTACGAAATTTTTATTTTATAAGAAATAATGTGATTATTACCAAAAGATTATTAATAAAATACGCATTAAAAAAAATTCCATTCACATTGTGAATAACCAAATTAACGCTTTATTCATCATCTTGTACAACTGTCGTTTTTTCAGACACGTAAAGACCATCCAAGAACTTTCTGATGTCCTTATTCTTTACAGTCGTTGATTGTTGTATTAGAGCGGCTAAAATTAACATAACCCTTAATTCCAACTTATTTATGACAAATATTCCTTGTAGAAATGTATTAATTCAAATATTTACCAGATCGAGAAACATCTTCTAAAGAATTTCCCTCTATTATTAGCTCATCCTTCTGTTTAGCAGAATTTGAAACAGTTACTCCTGTTGCCATTTTTACACGACGAATGTACTTTTCACCCAAAAAGTTACGAATTTCAATAACTGTATTATTTTCTGTAATTACACAATTAATTGGGAAATGAGCATACACAGCTCTCATTTTATACTGGTATCCTTTAGTCACTCCCTTCAGCATATTTTCAATATGAGAACAAACTGTGCGGACAGCAGCTAACTCCTTCTTTGTTCCGAACCACTTTTCAACTTTTAGTAACCTTGGACTTATCATCTGCAAAAGAAATAATTACATACACTTACAAATGATATTGAATTATAAAATAACTTATTAAGTATACTCTGTTGATCAGATATGGATTTATCATTTATTAAAAAAATGAAGGGGAATCCAAGTATCATCAGATACAAGATGAATTAGACATTTTTGTGTTGCAATTATTTAAAATTATCAGTTTACTTACACGAATATCAAGTGCAAGATGTTTGAAGGAGCGTTTAAGAATACCTCTTGGTCCTTTAACAGTAACCATGCGGGATTTAACTGTGACAGTTAATCCCTCTGGTATTTTTACTGTTTGATTTGTCACAATTTGTTTCATTCTAAAATATATCAATGTAAATATAGTACACAAAACTTTCTACTATATCTATATAGTATAAACAAAACTTTGATTCGACATAATTGTCAACCATAGAATAAGGTAATATTTACAATAATCTATACAGGCAAGTATCATTTTCATATAACATTAACCATTTTTTAAATATAAAATCAAATATGAATGACGTACATCCTTTATTGTTGACATTTATACTTCAAATGATTTGTTTTATATAGAGAATTTGTAGGTTATGTATTGGAATACAATTATTGAGATTCAAATATTACATACATTTATAAAAAATAATGGATAATAATTAATATTTACAACTTAGAAATTATGGTGCAAGTAATTTAAATATATAACGTATTAATAATAAACAGATGTGTTTCTGAAAAGTAAGATTATGTTCAATTACAATCAAAATGATTATATTCCGAAAATAATACTTAGCCTTGCACAAACGTAGCAAACTACGTCAAATAACACATAGAACATGTCACGGAAGTCAATACATTGCTAGATTGTTACGGATTTCACAAGGAATCTTTAAATTAAAATTTCTTTACCTTACACGCTATCGTATAACCGGAAAAGACCGAGGTATTGAGAAAGCATGTCTACTACTTTCTTGGATGAATGAAACATAGATATCTAAATTATACTTAATTTGAAGCTTACATTATTTAATTTTCCCTACAGATGGCGCATTTTAACGTTTTTTAAAATATTTTTATTATGTGAAATAACAATTCTACATATAAAAGATTATAAAATATGAAATGTTTTCTAATTTCAGACAAAAACAACTAATGTGTTATTCTAAAAAAATAATCTAATATTGTCTAACATTTTCTTTTATATAAAATATATTTTTCTAGTATACCTTTCTTGATAGCTTATTCTTGCATTATTTTTTTAATCTACAATTAATGATTACTAGAAATTTTTGAACAAAATTTTAAAATTATATTGTAAAAAGGGACAATCTACAATCTATATTTTTCATGATTGAAACTTACAATTAGAATTAAATACTTTGTAATTTGTGTTCCGTAAGTTGAATGAAATATGATAAAAAAACTGATAATCTAATTAGAAAGACATAATTACAAAAGATAGTTGTTAATTAGATCTTTTATAATGAAAATTTGATTTCGCTATGGGCACTGAAACACTATTGCCACGTAGCGGTGAAAAGATGGAACTAATTGCTATTGTTTTTCTCGTCGTGCAATATTGCATTTTCTGTCTGCGATAATTTGCATAGTATCATATTTTTTGTTTATAGATAATGTTTGTGCTTTCATTTATCAGATTTGTAATAAAGAGATAACAGATCCAATACATACGATGAATAATAAACTTTCACTTTGCAAATGTTTGATTAATATATCTAAAAGTGTATAAAAATTAAAATCATATTTCGTAGTCAAATCAAATTAAATCATAGATCGTAGTCTGCATTTTCAAAATTATTTTATTTAGAAATTATTGTAGAATAAGAGTTGTCTCATTTTAATAAAAGTAATTTCTTTAACAAATCATTATTTTACGAGTTTGAAATTTTTACAAATTTTGATAGAAGAAAATATATTTACTCGGATTTCGACTTTCAAGATCGACTAATTATTTTTATATAATTTTATATAATCATTATGCTTTAAAATAGAAAAACATTAAGGATATAATGGGTTTTTGTGTGATATCTTTCGAATCAATCATTAATTAAAAATTTTATGTTTATTAAAGTTCTTTTTATATTTCCTTTAGTACATGCTTTCCAAGCTAAATCTTTTTTGAGAATGAAACATTTAATCAATTTATACGAGATAATGTTGTAAGAAATATTACACAGTGAATATGCAGGAATTAAACTATAAAATATAAATGCCAGATAATTATTGCGAACAGAATCTGTCCATTGCTGTTGCATTATATGTAACTATTATTCCATAATATAATTGTTAATATAATTATAAAAAATTATTTAAAAATTTTGTACACTTTAGAACTTTGTATACTTTTGTTGTCTCCAATTAAAAATACTACTTTTTATGGTTTTGTTTTACTTCGTCATTTCAGTATTTTACGTATCTAATTTATGAAAATCACGTTAATTAAATAAATTTTTACATGTAATTTGTTTATTTTTTTTTCTATTCACTGTAGTTTGTAGTAGATAATAAAATGTTGATAATAAATTTCTTTCTATATCAAACATGGTTAAATTCAATTTGTCACAGTATAATAAATACACGGTTTTAAAAAAGGAAAGATTTGTGAAATGTTTTTGATAGATGAATCATATTCTATATCTCAAATAAAAATATCGATTTTTTTTTTTATTGACCTTAGTTTGTGTTGTAGTACTAGTTCTCGATAGTATATTAATTTCATAAAATCTTAGATAAAAAATTAAATAAATTTATATCTTTGTGATATTGTTTATTCTGAAAGAAAAATAGTAATTAATTTAAAGAAGCTGATATTTTTACAGAAATTCATTTCTAAGAAACATAGATAATTTTGATGAATATCAAAAAATCATGGAAAGAACACAAAATACAAAAATTTAATTTGTTTATTATTTTAAATAGTAATATTGTGAGTACAAGGAAATATTAAAAATTCTGAGAATGCAAAATACAAAATAAATTGTATTTTATAATATTCGTATACTGAAATAAAATAAATAAACTTATTAGTAAATGTAAAATAAGTAGACGCTTTAAAAATTCAAGATCAGTTTTTCTCGTTACTGTTTATCTAAAAAATATACTATTTAATTAATTTCTATCTACACATTATCAAATTGAGTGATAATAACATATTGTTATGCTAGTTTACTAAATATTAGTATAATGCAAGAATGCTTAATAATGCGAAAAAGATATTGCCGTGTCGCAGGATTAAATATCACGCGGTAAATTAATGTTTCCTTAACGCATGAAAAAAAACCTTATGTAATACAGAAATTTGGATATGGATACTATCAATTTGCATATTGCTACTTCCTCACAAAATGTAGCGTTAAAAATTGCGTCTTCACACTTACTTTACACAGTTACAGTTTGCAATTTTATAAATAATATAATCATTGAGTCTTGTATCTTCCTCAATTTTCTAGCCTTAAAAAAAGGTGATAGAACATGATATACATGTTACAAAATCAAAATGAAAATGCTTATAAAAAAGTCTCTGACTAATCAATCTTTAGAATTCTATCACACAATCGCGAGTCTGCATATACTCTACATTTCTGCGCGACAATAAAATTCTATACTTTTCTAGAAGTATAGAATATTTTATAAAAGTTTCACGAATTCTGGTCCGCAAACAATTATTTCAGCGGCAAAAATTCAAATTCTGCTTGTTATTCATATATATATACAAGCAAAGAGGTATTTTGTCAGTTTACATTTATATAGCATTTCTACTAATAATCAGCCTGCATAGATAATCGTTGATTGTTACTTGGTTTCAACGGTGTCGTACAGCGACGTGCATCTGGAAATCTTTCATAATATCTCTCCAATCTCAGGTACTTTACGGTTACTAAATGACCTGGAAAATAATATTTAATATTTATATATCATTCTTTTATATATACATAGGATATTATAAAATATTTAAAAAATGTAAATAAAATAAAGAGAATATTCATCAGTTGATATTGATGTCAATATATTTTTTTGCTAATTGTTTATGACTTGACAAATAAGCTTCAACTGACAATTAAAATCGATCTTATAAATATCACCCATATATTTTGTAGTGTAGAAATATCAAAAAACATATTTAAAAAACTTACCATCAAACCAACATCCATGTAAAGCCCTATAAGCTTTCCCCGCGTCGTCTTGTGACATACATTTCATGTAAACACAACCTTCTCGACTACCACGATCTACACGGATGTGAAGAATTTTTACGCCCTCTCCGCATTTTTCCAAAATAGCATCTTGTACCTTTGTTTCCCAATCGTCTTCGAATTCTCTAAAGCAACACACATATTTACGTATGCATATATGTATGTATAAATATATATATTCAATATTTATTTATTTATAAATATGAATAAATGTAATAGGAATATTCACACGTCAGCATCAAACATGTGCCTTATCTTCAAGCAGGGTGTTGGCGAACAAGTTAAACTATTGGCAGAACCTTCCATTGTTTCAAATGCTTGTCCTTGCCAGACTTTAGATTTTTTGTTTAAAACAAAGTTTTGGCTGTTTGATTTGTTAAGACTATTGTTAGGCAACCAGCGCCATACATGGAATTCTTCTCCCGAAACTTGTTGTACTTCTCTTCGAATTCTAAAATCATAGATTTTAATTTAAAAAGGCTATCGATTTTTATATGTATTTAAAGGTACAAAAATTCATTGTCTAGCTCTTCTAACTTTGAAGTTATGTCCATAAAAATATAAATTTACATAAATTTACAAATACAACAGATAATAAGATTTTCGATGATTCATTAAAAATTTACCTGGATTCATTTTCGTCTAAAAATTTTACTGCTTTTTCCCAAAGTCCTGCCATTTTTTTTCGATCTTTTGGCGCTATAAGATTATCACGTACATGATTTATTGCAAGAAAGCTCTCTTGCGTAGTGCCACCCGGTGATGCAACTGCCGCATTTTGATGATGCGTTTCGACCATATTAATAATGTCACTAACAAGTTTAAACACTTCTTTCTCTACATTTTTCTTATATCTTATATACCAAACGAATAACTTCTGTATCCCTGTAGCTGCTAGAAGGCCTGAGAATATATCGCAATATTATTCATACATAATTAAATTGATGTGATATAAAATTTCAAAACATACAATATATTTTCAGTCTAATGTTATCACACAACATGCATATTAAGCTCCGCGGTATTGCATGCACAATAGAATTGGAAAACAAATATTATTAGTAACAAAGAGAAAATTTACTAATGCTACGTTAATTACAGCATTAAAGTACTAAATTTGTAACAAAATATATTTTAGAATATAACATTATCATGTTATTATAAAATTTTATGGAGTTATATTTTCAACAAGTTTCTTCCCATAATAAGTCGGTCAAAAATTTACCAAATGATACGATTAGAAGGGAAGAGAATATGGTGAAAAGCTTATTCTTGACGAGACACTGCATTGGCAACTCAGGATTCATAATCACCATTCCAACTTTCCCACTTAGACGAGTAGAAAATAACTTATCCTGTAACAAAAGGGTGTCTTCTTCTTTAATTTATTATTACATTAGAAAAAATGAAGATAAGAAGATAGAAAATAATTGATAAACTTTTTTACAATACCAAGGAATCCAAAACGTCGCCATTTCCATTACCATCACTTATATCTATAAGAGAAATGCCCCATTTCGGATTCTTTATGACGAGTAATTGTGCGTTTTGCAAATCTTGTTTTACTTCTAGACTTGTCTGTAACATTATTTTATGCAATATAATTTGTAATATTCCATTTAAATTAATTTAACATACCACTTTATTACTCGTAAACATTTGCATAATCTCCGAATCGGTCAAATAAGGGGTTTCACTGGAATTGTCGCATATCATGGACACAGCTTTTCTCGTTAAAATCGGTTGAAGTCGTTTCAATAATTGTAATACGGAATCTACGTTTTCTTTCATTACACAGCTAGCTCCAGGTGCTTCACGGTCATCTCCAACGAAACATAATGGTATGTTGCTATCTACAAATTGAAATACAAGACCAATAACAATTATCAAAAATTATAATATGTATATATTTTAAAATATTTTTTTAATTTTTGTAAATGAGATAGCTGATGTCTTACATATAAAAAGGAAAGAATCTTTCAGATAATCTAATTAAACGATAACGATGCAAAAAGAAATAGGATAAAATCATTACAACGGGAAAGGAAATAAAATATCAAAATTAATACATTAATAGTACTTATTATTTTATTACATATGTTAAAAAAACAATACATATCTTAAACAGACTATTATGAAATTGTGATTATACATTATTCTATGTTAAAGATGAAATTTGTATGATTAAAATCCACAAATTAGAATTATAGATAGTTATGAAATTATGAATAAATTTTACAACAAACGAATGAAATGTATTTAAATAGAATTATGTATATAGATCTCATTTTTAAAATTCGCAAATATTATACAATACAAATTCACATATATTATTCTTTAAAATGTTAATGTTTATCTTATTCACATTATCATATTAAAAAATTTTAATTAAGAATAAAAAATGTATATTGCATGTACTTATTGCGTATATTGCAATGTACTTATTATTAATAATTTATTTAAGAAGCTTTCCCACAAGTTGTTAGTCAAAATATATAATTTGCATTGCAAATTTAAGTATTTTTCCATGTATATATATATACATATTGCTTATCTGTTACGATTCTGAATACCTACCCGTTGAAAGTGATGGAAAGGTCTCTGTTTTTCCACCAAGTCCCATGTATATAATAGCAAGGAATCCGAAAAATAAAGCAAGTACCACTACCAAAATTACAGATACCATATTGTGGTTATTCCGTATATCTTCCCTATTTGCGGATGATGGTTTAAATACTCTGTTCATTGTTTCTCGAGATCTATCGGTGAATGATGTTGCATATCTAGAACTGAAGAAAATTTATTTATATAGCTCCATAAATATATGTTGCTTAATACAATTTACAATATAATTACAGTTGACGGAACTAATATACCGAGATTGAAAATTAAAGCATTAACCGATTTTCGTCAATATTTTAAATAAAAAATCATTTGCAAATTAATGTATAATATTTTTTCCTAGAATCTTTTATTACGATTTTGATATATCAATTTCATGAAGTACATACCTTGAACTGGATGGATACAATGATCTTAAAGAAGAAAAATGACCATTAGAATCTTTTTCTTTTAAGTCTGGCAAATTTGATGTAAAACGCGATGGTGGACCTAAAAAATAAACAAGATAATGAATCGTAAATTAACAATAATATAAACTATATATATAATTTAAATTTAGAAAAGCTTACTTTTTAAGCTAGACAAAGATGAACTTGGTAAATTGACAGATGATCTTGAACTAAGTCTTCTAGTAAATTCTGACAAAAATGGCGTATCATAATTTGTCAAAGGATCTCTTTGATTTGTGTCTAATTTTGTACATACATCTTCATTGACCGAGTGTATTGGAGAAATGTTTGAATCAAAGAGTGAGTCATTGTATTTGTTATCTTTTATCGTGTGAACAGATCTTGATTTTGAATCATACGACTTTGAAACTTGATCTTGATCAGAGACATTATGTTCATATGTTCTAGGCTCGTGAAGTTTTCCAACACTTGACAAATATTTAGGTGGAGAATATGATTTAGTTACTTCTTCAACAACATCTGAATCTGAACCAGTCTCCAAGCCATCATTTACAGTTGATATCTTATTAGTTTTTGTATATTTTTTATGAGTAGTTTTTGTTATTGTACGAGTCGTAAATTGCAAAGAATTATCATAATCTAGTGCTGCAGGATCTTTAAACTCCGAAGGTGTTGCTTTGTCTTTAATTGGATTCTTTGATATATTTACTCCGGAAGATACGACAGCTGGTGGTGGCATTGGATTTGCCAGTGTTTGCCTTCTAGCATTTGCTGTGGTTTTTTTCTTTTTACTAGTCGTTGAACTTGTGTCGTCATCTGTATCCTCACTGCTGTATCTAAAATTTTAATTGTAAAATTTGTTAATTTATTTACTACTTAAAATAATGCATAATCATACAGAGGTGTGTCATAGAAACGTGTTTTTTACTTAAAGTAAATAACTATCAATTTAGAGTTTGCCATACTTATTTAAACGATATTTAAATGTAAAGTAATGGAAAAACTGACTAAACGAATAATGGAATAATTTAAAAAAACATAAAAATATCGCTAGAATACTAGAATAAACTAAAAGTACCTGGCAGCTAATGAATGCCTCGAGCTTGTACCACTTCGACTTTCCATGAGATTTTTTAGCTTCTTTACGAGAATCTTTCTAGTGGTCTGCGTTACCGGGCCCACTGGATACCCATATTCCATTAGTTTACTACGCAATTCTGCGTCGCTCAGAGTATCCAGCGACATGTTGTTTATCAAAAGAATCACTCCTCTTGAAAAAGCCCGGTAAAAATGTTGCCTCGTGTATACAGAAGCCTCTTGCTGGCACTTCTATGAAACGTTACAAGCGTTGTCTAAAGGTAGTCGTGCAATTTGTAAAATTCTCCCTACCGTTAAATTGCACGTACGCCACCTCTCACGATATCATGAATGTTCAACCATGATACCTGAAGAAGTTAGAAAATGACTTTAGTTACAACTAAAAAATGGCGCAATTTTCTAACGGTCACAATCACGCGCATACTCGTTCAACACCATTTCACGCTGCTCAACCCTGTCATCCATAGTCATGGAGTAAAATTTACCAAGATAAGTGAATTCGATAGATGAACTCTTATTATCCTCAATCGTACAATCTTTCATTGATTTAACGTCAAACCCGTTTCTTTTCTTACGATTTATTATATCGTTATTTTCAATGACAATGTAATGATTAAGTTCTGCATTTACACAGTTAATATTCGAAATATTGGAATTGAGCGGATTGAGCGAAACTTTGTCAGAGTTTCACATCGTTTTTGTGATTTTTGGAACGATATATTTCGGAATGTAAATATAGGTATACTTACTAAAGTAATGTTAATGCTCACATGCTAAATATAGAACGCACATGCAATCGAGAATTACTCGCGTAGCCTTTATTACGAAAAAAGGAAAGTAACGCTACGTTATAAATAAATGTTAATTGATGTTTATGGAATTCTGGTATTTTTAGGAAAATCACTAGAATGGAAGCTTGAACAGAATTTCCTTCTGCTTACTGTATTAAATATATTGTTTTAACGTTGTGTATATATATATGTACAATATTGTTTTTATATATATTTATGTTGTTTTTATATATATATATTTATACCTTTAATATAATTCACTTGAATTTATTTGAATTTATCATTTCAATCACACGGATTATCGACGTTATTTTTATTATTTCTTAAATACATTGTTTTCCAAAATTGCAAAAATTATCTCGAAAAATACTTGATATATAAAATATCTTAACATATAATTATTTTATTTCATGATCTTGTTTCTTTTTCTAGAAAATGACAAACTACTTGGGTAGATACATGTACTTGCATTACAAATATTTTTTCACGAAGAGCAACTAATATATTTTATCAGTTAATGTTGTAAATCTTTAATATCGTAATAAATATAGACCACTTTTTAACGTAATATAATCTGGGAAACCTTCAATACGGCCAAGAGCTACAACAACAGGGCTCTGATAATAGATATATTTGTCAGAGACTTCTCTTATTTTATCTGCAGTTACTTTCTGTAATATAGAAACTAATGTAAATCTATTGTTTCACAATAAAAATGTAACTCACTTAATAACAATAAATTTTACCTCATATTCTACAACTCTGTGTTCGACTGGTTCATAATATCCACATCTAAAAACATTTTCAACAATGTCAAGAAAACGATTTTCTGGATTGTTTAGTATCAGCAAATCTTTTGTAATACATTGATGAACAGCTCGAGATACTTCTTTCTCAGTTATTACTGTGCATAATTTCATCCATTCTTTTTGTAACGAACGAACCATATACTATATAAATATTATGAATATGTAAATTATTGAGAATAAGATGTCTGCTTCAATATTTAGAATATACCAAAAGAGTTGAATAGTCACAAACGAAATAACAGCCCCAAATACTGGTAGACTGTGCCCAATGGTGAAAAAAGGATTTGTACATGTAACATAAATCTGTATTGTATGCAAAGTGTGCAATAAATGGTGCATTGTGATTTACTCCACCTAAAAATTAATATTAAGAATATTACATGGTTTATTTATTAGCCAAATGTAGAATATGTATTACACTTACCACTTGTCACATTCCAAGAACCTATGATTTCTTTGGCTACAGTAAGGGTAATTCTATCTTCTCGTTCTTTGTAATTTGATCCTTCAAATCCTATTGCTGCATATCCCAGTTCATTGTCATCATCTCTGAATCGAAGTTCAGCAGCTAAATTGAACGTGAAATATTTGTATAAAAATATAAGAAAGCAGCAGAATGCTGTGAATTTTTATACCTGAAAATCGATATTCAATTATATTTTTACAAAATCGTAAATTATTAGAAACTCCAAATGATGATTTGTAATCCTCAACATTACAGTTAAAATGTTTACAAACAATTCTTTGCAATTCTTTTAAGCAAATGGATCCAGTGCAAACCATCGTCATATAACATGTTTGAAATAAACGATGGTGAAATTCAAATAAATTTTTTGTAGAAAATTTTCTAAGAATTTAATGTTGTGATTAATGAACAAATATATAACATTTATCAAGTAATTTCTTTAACTAAATATTATCTTCGAATTTTTTTGCATACTTTATTGTATCAGTTTCAGGATATACACTATTACCAAGAGCAGTACCCTGATACGCAATAGTTGGTAAATAATCCATTACAATTTTTTCTCTATCTGATTCCATCTCAGAAAGTTTCTCTAAAATTACAACTTTTTCTTGTGTAACATCTTTATCACCTAAAATATTAAAATAATGCATTATTATATACAATTTTCATAGAATATTTTGTGAGGTTGTTCTATTTAACTTACATATTACTCCATTTAAAATTATATTTGCAAATAATTGAATGATTTTGTCTACTTTGCATGAAACCACCGTTCCATAAAAAAGGAATAAGTCTCGCATAGCAAGAGCTGTAACATTCCCACCAATCTCTTCTATTATACATTCCATTTGTTCTTTGTCATAACATTTTGTTTTCTATATTAGGTGCAAGTATTCAATATTTTAATAAATTTTATACTTATGTTATTATATTTTTATCTTACTCTGAAAAATAAATGTTCTAGAAATAAAGCACTTCCTCGTTCATTCTGTGTTTCATACATTGCACCAGCTGGAACGAAACATCCCACGGTGGTGGTGAAAGAATTTCTATGCTCACATATAAGACGCATACCATTACTCATATAGCAAGATTCTGTTGAACTTTCTATATCAAAATATGTACTTGAAGCTTTATTTATTTTTCTAGAAATGCCTTTGAAGTCTTGATGTGCTTTGTATTGTTTATTTGAAATAGAAACGAAACCCTTTAAAATGAATGACATAATATTATTTTAGATATTTATAAATAATTTAGAAGAATTTCAATACATTTAAGAAATTTAATACATACTCTTTTTATATATTTATATATAGTATTGCTTTGCATCTGGGATAAATATTTTGGAAATGCTATCATTTTTACTTCGAGTTATCCATGCAAAATATGATTCACATCATTCATATTAAATAGAAACTGTAGTTTTACGTGCATAACAGTTGAAGATATAAATATCTTCGTTTACTGTTTTTTATAAATTATAAAAAAGTACATAATTTATAAATTTGATGAAATAGAAGTTTTATTACATGCGATGATATTAACAATATGAAAAAAAAAAAATACAGTAATACAATGGTTTTCGTATATGATTGTAATCTTTACATAATTTCAAATATAAAATAATGTTTTATAAATGATGATCAGTGTATAAAATTTTGATTACGTTTATAAATATTTCTGAAGGAATTGATTTATACAAACATGCACACGAGATTATTTAGTTAACAACTTTTTAAAATATTACCATCGTACTGTTAATTTATAACTCCTATTTATTTTTTTATAATAAATAATCTTTGCACTAAAAAATCATTTGATCAATAATTCTTAAATATCCTAAATATACGATCTTCTTATATCGAATAGATGTATAAACTTAAAAAGATGTAGTAGAGAAGTAAAAACTTATTTAGTTCTCTACCGTTTGTTCTTTTCTATTATCAGTATTGCATATAACATACATATTCACTCATTCTCTCTCTCTCTCTCTTTCTCTTGTTGAATAATGTATTTAAAATATTCCGTACATACTAGTACCTTCATTTGATAATGATATTTCATTACCATTAACTCAAAATAGTGTATCTAATTTATTACACTAAAAATAGAAAATAATATCAGACTGCACACAAATATTTATATACAATGCAATGGGACTGTAATACATGCGCGAATAAATATATTGAACACACATGGAGTTATAAAATTAATTTGAAATTAATTTAAAATGCTTTTAAAAACGTGAAAATATATTTCAGAACATATATTCTAAAGTTTGCATTATTAATGAAAAATAAAAAATTGTTTATTTCTAATCCTTACGAATATATTCATTTTTTGCGGAAAATAGATTTATCCAACAGTAAAACTATCATATTATTGAAGGCTTCAGAATGATTCTATACTTTTCAAATGCTTGTGCCTGCCAATGTTCAAACATGTATTAAACATATACTTAAGTTTTGTTAATCGTACTAAATTCACAGATTTATAGTTTGTTACAACTATGTTTCATCAAAAGAAGTAACTATTTTAACGTTTGGTCTTTGTGACTTGAAAGTTTCAACACCTTGCCTTGTAACAGATGTTCCACTTACATCCAGATGCTCCAGACTTGATGCATTTAAAGCCAAATGTACAAGACTCGAATTTGTAACATGAGGATAATTTCTGAAATACGTAGAAAAAATTGTTATTACTATTAAGTTTATTTAAATTAAAAACTATAGATATAATAATACCTAACAACCAGTGTTTTTAAATGAGGATTATTAAATATCCGTTTATCTCCTTCTACAACTATAACTTCTTCTGCTGAATTGTTGATTATACGATCACACGTATCACTTCCAAGAGCACAAATTGCTCTGTCGGTTATTAGACAACGTCCAAACATATAATTTTCCCAACGGAATCCATCTTCCACGAAAAACTAAAGAAAAAACAAACAAAAAAAAGAAACTATAAGAATTGTTTATATGTAATTTAATTATATAATCTTTGCATGTTGTATTGTACATACTTGTGCAAGATTTCCATCTTCATATACAGGAAGTTGATTCAAAGCTTCTCGTTGTAAGGGTCGAAGTTCATCAGATGATTCTGCATTTCGTAAACTGGAAGGACATTCCAGGTAAAGATGTGTTAAAGTTTTAGTACAACTGAAACATCCTACTTCGCTGTCACCAAGTGCTGTATCTCGCAAATCAAGGATCTGAAATATATAATTACTTAATCACTTAATTGATTGATTTATTAAATAGAAACATAAATAATAACAATAAATAAAATTATTTACTTCTAATGTCTTAAATCCAAATCTTGTAGCTAAACTAGTGTATGCAACGCATTCACCTAAACGGTGACACGAATTTAGCCTTAATTCCTTTAACTTTGGCATCTTACTAATGACCAATAATGAATGTGGGGTAAACCATTGACAATTGCTTAAAATTAAACACTGAAAATATGCAAATGTTATAAATTGTCAAATATTAATCAATTGTGTGTGTAAGAGATCAAACAGTGTAAAACAGGAAACAATAATAATAAATATAACAAGCAAAGTTATATGTAGTTTATACTTAAAATTATTAAAATATTGATATCTCTCAATAGAAAAGAATAAATTCATTAAAGAAGATAGGAAAAAATAAATCTATTAAAGAAGATAAGAAAAAAATAGATCCATTAAATAACTAGTAAATGAAAGAATTTCTCAATTTCCAATTAATGCAAGCAATTATTTCATAAGTTATGGTCATTGATTTATAATAAAAAATATATATAACAAAAGTAACTAAATATATAAATATTAAAAAAAAATTTGGAAAATACATGCAATTGAAAAGTGAGATTCTTACTGTTAAATTAGGCATATGGAAATTCATTCTGAAAAAATATGATTTATTACTACGCAAATGTTCAATTTTGCAGCCTTCTAATGAAAGTTTTTCTATGGTTCTTGGAAAATCTGTTATTTGAATCTGTAAGTAGAGAAAAAAAAATTTTATTTGCTAAAGAAATTTTTAATTTTTCCTATAAAGGTAAACAGTTGAGTAGTTAAACTTACTTCATCTCCATTAATACAATACTCTTCAATAATTAATTCTTTAAGTTGAATGCATGTAGTTTTAATGCAATTAAAAAAGCAAAGACTAAGTTCTGTATCATTCTCGCAATATAAATCACCACGTATAGCAAGAGTTATTGTTATAGGTTGAAGAAATTTTATATATTCTTTTAAGTCATTCAGTAATATAGGTGCTGCTCGAAAATCCACTCTTCTCCATAAAGTTTTATCTTGTACTATCTGGGCTAATCGTTGACAAGATCTGAAAACAACAATAACATATAATAAAAGAAAAAATATATATGTATATATATTCAATTGTTCATTTTATTAAACTTACAAACTTATTGTCATGAGATCTTTAGGACTCAGATATTTTAATATATTCAACAGAACATCGTCAGAAAAATCCAATACATGTGGATGTGTTATAATATCATTTGTCTTTTCATTTTCTTCAAATTTGACACGTTTCATATCTTCTTCACTACTTGAAGCTTTAGGTGATAAAGATCTACTACGTTTCATTTTCATTTTCTTTTTACACCTGTATAATAAAATTAACATTAAAACAAAATTTGATCATAGTTAAACTTAAAAAACATAATATTAAAAATATATGGCTGTTATTAGTTTGAAATGAATTTAAAATCTTAAAAATGTATAATTTATATTTTAGAAATGTATATTTCTATTTTAGAAATGTATTTTTGCATAGTCATCATTCAATCCAAATTGGTTAAGCTGCATATGCATTTTATTTGAAACAATTTATAAATATAAACAAATACATATATATATATATATACATATGTACATATAACAAATTGAACGATTAAGTATCTGATACACTTGATTCTCCAATGGTTTCAATTTTCTTTCCATTTTGTTTTAATAACTTTGAAAAATTGGAAGTGTTTTCTGTTTTCAAATTGAAACTGACGTAAAACACAAAGAAAGTTTTGTTCATAAAACAGTCTAATTCTGACTGCTGAATAAGCTCTGTTTCTTTGGCTGAAACCCAGAAATAGGGATAAAATTTCTGCCAACCATACACAGCTATGATCAATGATCTTACATGATTTTTCTACATATATTTATAAATAAAAGTCAATATTTTCATATACTTGAAATAATTGTTAATTACAAAAAAAAAATCATGAGTAAGTCTAGAAAAAAATTATTTTACAATTGAAATTTCATTTATTGAAACAAAAAGCTTGTTAAATCATATATTATATATATATTATGAAAAATATTCATTATGTATCAAAAACACTTCGAAAACATGTCAAAACAATTGACATGTTTAATCAAGTGTAGAAATTTATTTACGATTAATGTTATGAGAAAACATTGTACATGCATTGCAAAATTTGATTTCGGGACTTTAATTCGTACAAATCAAATATTTTTTTCTAAGTAAACCATAAGAATTGTCGTTCTATTATTAAAAATCAACAACAAATAACATAACCTTATTGTTTGAAATAGTGTCATTGCATTGTTGATACTTACTCGATTATTACAGTTAAACTCAAACAAAGATTATTACATTCGAAAAAGTATCGATTCAAAAATTAATTGTCTTAACATAATGTACTTAATTTGTTTAATTTATTGAAGAGATATATATACAAAATGATGATTGCACACACACACACGCACACGTTCCTGATCAAACTAAACAACTTCTTACAAACTCGACTGTAGTTTACTATAATGACGTCCTTTTACGTGAGAAGTACATTCATGGAAATAAATTTGCAAAAAAGATGCATAAAAAAAATTTGAAAACACAATTAGAACTTTCATATACCATTCGTACGTGTTTGAAAAATTTTGAAAGGCATACGATTTAAAATGTTTTTCCCTTGTCACGAATAAAAATGCACCGACATTCTAAATATCAAATTAATTTCCAATAATTATTTTGTCAATTTTTGTTTAACTATTGTTTTCTATATTCTTTTGTTTAGAAAAATAGTAAAACTAAAATAAATTTCTATTATTTCTTTATATAATGAAATTAATTGTTTCAATAATTACTTTCATTTTTAAACAATGCTTTCTTTTTCCATTGTTTTCAAACAATTTAAATATAGTTTATACATTAGTGTATTAATATATATAATTTAAAATATTGCGCTGTATATGGGACATTTCAATTTGTTAAATTACAAGATATTGTAAATATCTCTGTAAATAGTAATAAAAATCATAAAATTTTATTTGGATTCACTTGATAAATAAATTTGAGCTATCTATGCGTAGGAAGATTAAATGGAATAAATCATATACTGCTTTTTTCTTTAAATATATTATATTTAAATATTAGTTTGAAAATATATACAATGTAAAATATAAAAATTAACAGTATAAATTTCAAAAATAATCATATCTGAACAAGTAACGTCATTTTGTTCCAATGTTGCACATATCAGGGGGCTACTTAAAATCAAAAAATATCAACAGACCTCCAAAACAAATAATTTTTCATAATTTTAATAATTAGGCACAAAGTATGTAATTAATAAAAGCACTGTATTTTTTTCCTTCTTTTTCTCTTTGGAATTAATATTTACTTTACAATACTTCAGTATGAATAAGAGGTATCTTCTGCTTTGCGAAGAATACCGTTTTCTTTAGGAACAGTGCACTAACAGTTTTTCGTCTTACTCACTGGACCATGTTATATACAACAATGTTATTACTATAAATCTATATATTTCAAATGTACATCTAACTCTATCCGATATAGAAACACAGTCTTAAACTCATTACTTCCGTTTTGATATATATGTATATACAAGACTTTATAATAAAATAAAGTCTGACCAGTAATTAAAATAAATCTTTTGTACTGTAGAAAGTTCATTTGTATCTTAAGATGTTTATTATGCAACAACAGAATTTTCGTTACTGTTACATTTAATAATGAATTCTGTGTTCGCACTTAAATGTGGATTTTATTTATTTTCAATAAATAATATGCATCAGTATGTTCTGTAAAAAATGTAGTACAAAATTGTGCGATGTAATCCTTCACTAATATTTGTTATATCAAACGGAATGACAACAGTGCACATAAATTAAATATTACTGTAAACAATAATTTGGAGCAAATTATAGATTTCTGGTAACTTATTGTTATTGTACAAAAATACAAAAATTTAATAAGCATGAAGATTAATTTTTAATTAATTAAATTTATTTTAATTAATTAAGATTAAATCTTTCATTTGAAGATATAGTTGCCCCCTGTTTTTGATCTTTCTTGATCTTTAAAAAAAAAAGGAACAAATTAAGTAATAACATATGCTAATTGTAAACAGATGTAATAGCTACAATGTGGCTTAAGAAATATAAATTCTCTTCATTATTCTTGATTTTTTGGTCAATATATGCTGAGATTTAGCAAGAAATTTAGACAATTATAATTTCCAATATACTTATTTCGAAAGTTTACTGTATGGCACGCTCTCATTTGTTAGAAAACGACTCCAAGTCGTTGTACGTACTATAGTGGTATATATTGTATGTACATTCAATCAAAATCTTAATTATAATGGAGCTAATCAGGTAGATCATTCCTGATTTTACCTTACATTTATCTTTCTATTATTTATCCAATTTATATATAATATAAATTTCTTTGGTCTTAGATTTTGTTTTGCATTCTAAGTTTACATACAAATCATATATTCCTTTGTATATTATATATCATGTTGTAATGATATAATACTTTGCAAAATGGTCATAGATTGTTGCAATCACTGTTTATAAAAACAAACGCAAAATTAACTACAAAAAATATTACATAAAGTAAAATACAAAATTAATATTTTTATAGAATTGATTTGATTGTTTATAACAAAAGAATGTAAATATTCATCAAATACATTGATGAAAATTTATCAAAAACGTTATATATCTATTCTAATTTTATTAGAATAGATATATAATTAATATTACTAATTTTATTAATATAACTAACTAAAATAAAAAATAATGATTCATACTTAATATTCTGATTAGACATTTATTTGATATTTTCATTTTAAGCTAATATATTTGGAAATATGTCTCTAATCAGGTATTGGAACAACCTCATGACTATCTACGCACACTTAAATTTTATAGCACACGATTTCTTTGAACATTAAATATCAGTGTGCATTCATACAAAACATAGCATGCATTTCATACATGTAATACTTTACTGGCAAAATATATGTACAATATACTTCAAGTTAAGCTCATAAGCCACTGAAGATTCTACTTTCTGACTGATTGATTAGTGATTAATATAAATGATAAGTTCATTTAATCTGTTTAAAATAATAGTACATATTTAAATCCGTCTTCTTGCCTTATCAAAGTATAAAAAATTTCCTTCTCGAGTAACAGCAGGTATAGTTTAAGAAAATATTTTAGCGCGTCAAAATTTCTCTTGCTCACATAACAACAATCTTGTGATTGTTACCGTTTGGCAAAAGAACATAATAGACACGCTTCCCCTTATCTCATTGAAACTCTTGTATATTATTATGATACTGATTATTAAATGAACCATTTGGTTGTTCATTTCTTTCAATAACACTTTGCATTTCAACCGTTGATCCATTATTAGACTGTCCATTGTTATTATTTAAACTCCCAGAATTAGTAACATTACTTGTCACCATATTTATGTTACTTGTCGTGTTGGATTGTTGTGTTTGTTGTTGTTGTTGTTGCTGTTGTTGTTGCTGCTGCTGTTGTTGCTGCTGCTGCTGATGACCATTTGCAGTATTCTGAGAAGAATTATTATTATTCTTTGATCTATGCCTAAGTTTGTGAGTTGTAAGATATTGTTTTACAGAAAATGCTTTGTGACAAATATCACATTTATATGGTAAAGGATCTTGGCAATTTACACCATCCCCAATAGTCGAAGCATGAGTTGTTAAATGCATTAGATAGTAATGCTTTACCACGAATGACTTTCCACATGTTTCACAGATATACGGACCCGATACACCATGTGTTTTACGATGTTTGTGAAGATTGTCTTTTCTAGAAAAGCTTTTACCGCACATTTCACACTCGTGCATTTTTTCACCTGTGTGAGATACAGAGTGCCTAACTAAATGTTCTTTTCGACTAAATGCCTTTGAACATGTGGTGCACACATAAGGACGTTCACCAGTATGTAGTTTTCTATGTTGATAAAGATGTTCTTTTCGTTTGAATGGCTTACCACAAACATCACAACTAAATGAATTGCTATTATTTTGTAAAGGATCTTCTTTATTACTACCATTATCAGAAGTTTCACTTAAAAGGCTCTGAACTGAGCAACTATGAGTGTTCAATTGATTTATGGTATTGAAAATTTTGCCACATTCTTTACAGGTGGCATTCCTATGAGTTTGCGAAATAACTTGAGGATTCACAGTAATTAAAGATGTTGGTTCAGGCCCTGATTTGATTCTTAGAAATTCGGAAATCTGTCCAATCGAGTTGCGAGATATTGTATCTTCTGACTTTGCATAGTCCTTAAACTCCTTTGACTCATCTCGTACAGTTTGTGTGACCAGAGGAGTTTCTTTAAATCCCAAATTTAAAAATACCTCCGGTGTAGCTTGTACAGTATAACCTTGTATATTTTGTGTTCCACTTTCATCTTTCTGAGTTTCAGATTGTACTTTCTGAATGATTTGTTGGTTTTGCTTAGACTCAGAGTCTGCCTTCAAAATGATATTATTATTTTGATGTACTACTTGACTTTGAGACTCCTGTTTAATAGGGAACTCTTGTGTAGCAATTTGCACCTGTTTCTCAATTTGTTGAAGCTGTCTATGTTGTTTTTCAAACTCTCTTTGTTGTCTTTGTAACTGTTGAATCTGTTGTGTAATTTGTGACTGATTTTGTTGTTGTTGATTAACTTGTGTTTGATTTTGTGATTGAGAAATTTGCTGCGAGATTTGTCTTTGTGACTGTATCTGTTGATTTATTTGTCCATGATTCTGAATTTGATTTTGCACTTGAATTTGCGAGGTTGTAGTTTGTTGATCATTAATTTGATTTTGTGCTTCATTTGATTGTTGAGGAGATACTTGCTGTGAAGTTTGTTGCTGATAACTATAATGAGTTTCTGCTGTTGCCTCTACAACAGCAGCCGCCATACCCCCTGGTTGCATCTAAAACAGATATTAGTATCAATCAGTATTGGCATCATATGAAAATAACTTGATATTTTCTTTATTAACTAACCTGCATGGCACATTTGTATTGTTGAACTCTTGCTTGAACTCCACTAATAATTTGAATATTCGAAGCATTTATATTACTAACAACAACAGGCTGTTGATGTTGTATTTGTTGGTCATTGTTGACTATTTGATTTCCTTGTGCTGGTGTCACCTTCTCAATTCCTTTCAATACTTCATTCTCAGGTGTTGCAGGTCTGTCCTTTTCCGTGCTTTTCACGTAAACCTTACCTTCCTTCAGAAAATCCTCAGAGAATCGCAACGAAGTGAAATAAGATTCTAGCATACCCTCTGCACTCACGACTGTCTCTCTAAATTCAATGAAATTCTCTAATTTCTTTACGCATTCGTGGCAAACAATTTTTGGCAAAGAATCCTCTTCCAAAACCTTAAAGTTCAAATTAAGTACCAATTACGCATACCGTTTATTAGCACGATGATTCAATTAAATTAAAAATTATCAAACAGCAAACAAGTTACAACGACCGTATAGAGACATCAATAAGAGATTGTCTGATTAACTGAAATTTACCAAAATCTTGTCTCGACTACAAAGGGAGATACGAAGCCTCACCTGTATAGGCAAGTACGTCTGAATTTTCGTTTGTAGCTGCAACCTGCGACCTTCCTCCCGGAAAATGTTCATTTTGGTTCCTTCGCTGCTGGTACACAATCTGCACAGTTCGTAGTAATTCACTCTTCGATATCCGGACATTGTTTTCCCGCGGAAAACTCAACTGCGCGACCTTAAAGAAAATCGCGGATAGCTTTATTTCCGAAGAGATTATACGCGTAACGATCACTGTCTCCTCATCGTCATTGACGATGTTATTTCGCATACAAAACAAGATCCCGCTTGATATCGCATTTCTGGTACTACATGAATTGCACCCGTGGCCATTTGCAGTTTGTGTGATTATAGCGACAACGAAGGGTAATAAAACCCGCTAAAAATTTAAATTTCCAACGAAAACGTATACAAGGGTGCATAAATTTAAAGACATAAAACAATTTTTAATCGTGGCACGTTGTTTGAAATTTCGTTTTCTTTGTGATTTTAAGGTCACCATCATATACAAATAGTGAACGTTCTGGCAATATTTACATTTGCGTTTACTTGTTGTAGCAAATGGTAAAACAAAAATACATATGCGTACTGCTCTAACTTACGTTATATATTTTGTTAGTTCCAATATGCGTGTTAATGTAACATTCTTGAAATGATAAAAAGGAAAAAAATTAATAAATTAAGTATACACACAATGCAAATGCAATATGTGTGTAGATATATGAGAACGACAATATATATATATTGTATATATATATATATACAATAAGTAAAAAATGAAAAATATGTAAAAAGCGTAAGTAAAATTAACACAATATAAAAAATATAAGTAAGGAGTGTTTTAAATTTGCATCCTGTACGAAATAGAATGTTGTAACTGTATACTATGTACATTTGCTCCGTTTATTTGATATAATAATTCATTTGTAAGATAAAGTGAGAAATATCGAACGTGTCAAAAGTACGCCTCCCCACGTACGATTTTTCGTAAACTTTTTCATTGTCACGTACGATTAAGAAGCTAACTGATCTCGTTGAAAGTTTATAATTCACGAGAAACGCATAACGATAAATGCAGTGGCCAGCGGCGATTTACGAGATCCAATCTGATTTGAGAGCAAGAATATATATCGAATGAGGAAACGTGGAACATTGAACCGGATAGATAAAAATGTCATCACTGGCGGAGTTTCCTGTGTGGGTATAGTATCGGGAATAGGCTTCGCAAAGGATGATTGATCAGCCGTAGTTCCGCGAATTTTTGCGTCAACGTGTCCGCTCGGTCTGCGAGAAATGTCGAGGAGTGGAATACGCTTATGAGAGAGGATCCGTCGATCGAGAAGGGACAACGCAACAGGAAATATAGTGCGATAGTACGAGGATCCTAACCTTGTTAAAAATGAAGTCTGGCACTATGAACTCTGACAAACACAGAGGTTCCACGCTTTTAAAGGTGGAGGAAAACGAGCAGGTCTTCCAGTTAATAGGGAATCGATGCCAGGCAAGAGCTATTTCAACTGAGATTTTTGTTCACGAAACGTCGTGACTGTCATTGTAATATAACGATTTTGACCTAAATTTTATCTTTCGATCGACAGATATAGATAAACATGTTCTGTCGTTATTTTCAAATAATCCGGTCGTAATTAATACCGTAGCTAAATATCAGAGTCTTTCATTTATATTACATTAATGAAATCTGTATTATAAGTTATGTTTCGTTATTGACATATTTAACAGTGCAGAAAAAAATTTTTAATGTTGTTAAACGTCTCGACGATTATTTTATGTGAAAACAGTAATATTACTGTATAATTTTTACTCAAGGTCGTTGTAAGAATAAATTTGCAGTGTTTAAAATGAAGCATTGGTCATGAATGAGTCAAATGATGCATCAAAACGTTCATCATTATGCAAAAATTTTCTACGATGTATTTCTATATATATATATATATTTTTTTTTTACTTAATTTTTATATCTTCTTGCATTGCTTGCGATTATTTTGTATTATCATTAATTAATATTGTTTTTCAATAAATAATTAATGTTATTGCAAGAAATGAATCATTTTTATATATCTTACAGTGTTTAGCAGCTGGAGTTATTCAATTATATTTGACTGAACCACCTTTACACAAGGAATGGATAAAGAAAACTACAGGTATTATAACATTGATAAGGGATAACCCTAGACGTAGCTTTTTCCTTCGCTTATATTGCTTACAAAGGAAAGCAATGTTGTGGGAACATGAAGTATATAATGCAATGGATTATAAAGCACCATTGTCTTACTTCCATACATTTGAAGCAGAAGACTGTATGGCTGCTTTTAATTTTGCGAGTGAAACAGATGCCGTAACGTTAAGGTAAGCTGTGAGAATAAAAGAATCAACATTTTTATTCTATTAGAATGTGGAATAAAAATGTTAAATGAATTGAAGAATCATGATATATTTTCTTCTAAATTTAATTCTGAAAAATTGAATTCTTCTAAATTTAATTCTGAAAATGATTGTTATTTATTTTCAGAAATATTCTTCTTGGTAAGCTGAATGCTAAACGTCAAAGAAGACAACAAAGACGGTCTAAGATAGAAGGAGAAACTCAGCATGGTGCAACATTGCCATGGAGAAATCAGAGCAATACATCACCCGTTGCATTTAGTACAGGATCAACTTCCAATTTATTGAATGGAACGCCAACTACAGTTGGTGTGAATAGGAGTGCTTCTAGTAGTTCTATGTACACAAGTAAAAAGAAGAAACGAGAGAAAACTAAGAAAAGATTAACTAAAGATGATATTGGCCCTCCATCAAATTTTATGTGAGAAGAACTTACGAATTTATGAACATTTTCTTTATTTATGGCTTTGGTTATATTCTATAAACATTTTTTATATTTATTTTAATATTTTTAGACACGTTACGCATTGGGCATGGAATAACAGTAGCAAAGAATTGGAATTAGAAAAAGTTGATCCACATTTAAAACTTTTTCTCGATAAAGTTGGTGTATCGGAACATCAATTTAGAAATCAAGACACACGTAATTTTATTTACGATTTTATTGAAAAAAATGGTGGTATGAATGCCATTAGAGAAGACATATCTTCGTCTATCCCAAAATCTAATGTACAACAACTACAACAACTACAACAGCAGCAGCAGCAGCAGCAACAACAGCAACAACAGCAACAACAACAACTACTACTACTACAACAACAACAGCAGCAACAAGCACCGATAGCGCCTCAAAGACAGGAATATCCACCTCCAGTTCCAGCAAGAACAATAGCTGTTCGTTTATTTATTTTTTTTTGTAATATTACATGACTATACGAAATGAACAATTTTAATATATTTTTGCAGCATCAAACACGAAGTGCTCCACCACTACCTCCGAACCGAATTAATGCACCTTCAACACCACCAAGTGCACCAGCTAATGCACCACCCATTCATAGGACATTGCCATCTCGACCGCCACCACCTTCTTTAACTTCTGCGCCATCACTGCCACCGCCTCCACCTCCACCTCCTCCTCCACCACCACCTCCACCAGTTCCAACTCCAGTTCCACATACCAGAAGTAGTTTAACCGCACCTGTTCCACCTCCTCCACCATTACCAAGCATTGATGATGAAACTGTCAATACAAGTGCCACCAATAATAATAATACTAGTAATGACAATAATAACGAAGATATCGCTGATCTGAGATCGACACTCATGGAATCTATAAGAAATGGCACTACACTTCGAGTTAGTATTAAAATTAACAATTTACAATAATGAAATTTAAATTGTATAACTTATTTTGATGATTATGTGTTATCTTTCTGTTATAGAAAATTGATAAATCTGAAATAAAACAAAATCCTCCTCCTGGGGATTCAAGGAATGCTTTGTTAGAACAAATTCGTCAAGGAATTGAGTTGAGGCCCGTTTCAAATGAAGTTAAAAGTAAACCAGCATTTCAAGGAGGATTGGCTAATGCTTTGTCAAGAGCACTCGCTGAACGATCAAGTGCAATCCATAGTGAAAGTGAGGATTCAACTAGTGAAACTAGTGATGATGATGAATGGGATGATTAATTCAGGTCAGATAGAATTTAGTGATATATTAAGTATAATCTCAATAGCATCTTGTTAATAAAAGTAATATTATTTCAGATGAATTATATAACTTGAGGAATAAAACAATATATCACTGTGATAAATCTGCTATCAATAAACATGTAAACAGATTAGCTACTGTAAATGTATAATATAACAATCTTGAATTTGATATCCAAAGAAGAATGAAAATCACATGTAAATGTTCCGAAAATGGAAATCGTGTAAATGTGTTATCAGAAAGTAAGGCACAATTACATGGATAGGGCAGGTAAGGGCAGAGTGAAGGTCCTATTTATAATTTCACATAAATTGTAACATACAATTATCTGGTCTGAAAAAGAAAAAAAAAGTATAAATATTATATAGCACAACAGGTATAAAATGTCGATTTTTTGCTAACTAATATTTGTGTAATTGAAAATTAATATTTGTCAAATATAATGAATACCATGGAAACAATTATACATATTACCTATTCATGCTGTTTCAATAAATATCATAAGAAATATAATGATGAATATAATTACGTAAGAATTAGCGTAATTATCTATACAGTTAATAATATCACAAATTCTATGTAAGTTCATATTACTTTAAAAGTTAGCACACTTCTTGCATGATGATTGTAAAATTTGCCCTAGTTTATTCTGCCCAATTCGTGTGACTCAAAATATATAATTTTAAGTTAGCAACAGATAGTCCAAGATGCACATGTACATTGGCATAACATTGTAAACGTAAAATAGATTTTCAAATTAATTGGAGTAAGTTTATCAATTTAAGTAGACCAAAAAGAAAAAAAAAAATAAAAGTATTAAAAATGTTACAATTTTTCCAGCTTAATACTCTATGAGATTGCATAATTTCGATACTGAACTGTATACAAAAGATACATTGAAATTGTATTAATTTACAGAAACTTGACCTAACATCTCAAAGAAAAAGAGAACGTATAATTAATGTATCTATGTGTATTACTGTACAGATCGATTTTTAAGAATTATCTATCATAAAATTAATCATAAAAGATGTTAAGGTCGGCCTATATGTTTCAAAAAAATCAGGAATCGACTCTTGTAAAAATATATAAGTTACATTTAAATCTATTAGTATACTGAATATTTGTTAAAGAAAGGATCTTCTTTCTCATTTACTGTTTCGTTTACAGACTTGGAAACTCGTTTGAGATATATTTAAATAACGGCCTTGTATCTAGTCGGTTACGAAACTAAAACAGGTGCCCTGAACTGATGTAAATTATAATATCTTAAAATAGTTTCTGAAGTCTTTAAGTAACTCGGTAAATTACGAGTTGATAATTTTTAATATTTTATTATATTAACTTCTTATTTCCTTTTTTTTTTTTTTAATTCTTTAACTTATTATATTAGTTTTAATATTTGTCGTCCTTCTAAGAGAGAGAGAGAGTCATAAGAGTGGTGTTTTATAGAATAGCAAATTAAATGAACTTCCATGATGAAGCACGGTCATTCTTGCATCGCTGGACAATATAATTAATTAATATAATATAATTAATTCGTTCAATTAAAAAACGCAGCGCATCAAACGACTCTTAGATGTATCCTACTAAAGTATGTAAACGTAAGGTTACAATTAACGTAAGGTTACAATTACGATGTAGTAAGAATTGTATATTTTCACGTGTGTGATATAGGTGTCAAGCCTGTGGGAATGAGGCGAAAACCTAGAGAAATTGTCTATGGAAATGTATGAAGCACAAGATAAAAGTTTTACGCCACTATGGAGAAATCCTAGTCACACAGAAATGAGAAAAAAAAGAGAATATGTTAATTATTAGTTATTGTATTTTATTATATTCTATGCAATATTATTGTATACGTAAATGCGTTTCGACGCCCCGAACTTTTTCTTCGGATTGACTAAAAAGATCATAGTTGCAGGATTTTTGCTTGAAGTATAAAAATACTGAGACAAGAGCATAATCAAGAGGAAGAAAGCTATACTATGTTTGTTAACTAGAATAAAGAGAAAGTAGCGAATAATGTTAACGAAAGACTTGTTACAATGAAATTTTACTTTGAACGCATTATATAGAAATATTGTTGCATTTAAAAAGAGAAGAGAAGAGAGAAAGAGCTATTAATGGACATGTAATTTTTGTCCAATTTTAAGAAGTAAATTGTTCTTCTATTGAATGTACATATAGCATAGTACATGTTACAAATCGTTTTCGGTTTGTATTATGACTACCAAATATCAAAAACTATAAAAAAAAAAAAACATACATATACAACAAATATTAATTTACTTTAACATGCAATTTCCTTCTACGATATTACTTTTCATATTATTTAAAAACAACAGATTCGTGTATAATTTATAGCGCAAATTTTATAAACTAACACAAACCGATTATTTCTTTCTTATTATGAAAGAAAACAGAAAAATTAACATCTACACAGATAATAGGATTCATAGAAGTAGGAGAAATCTTAAATCTGTTATGTGTACATAATTTTAAAAAGAACGTTGAATATACGTTAAAATAATGTTTATATTATTTATTTAACAGTCAGCTTTTATATATATTGGAAATTAGATTAAGTAGATCAGATACGTATATCGGTCTAACTAAATATTTTTGCTATGAATATGATGATATAAATAAAACATAGTGCGTGTGAAATTTACGACTAGAAGACCGGAAGGAAACATTTAAATTTTTTGGTTGAACTTGTAACAATAATTATCTATTGTTAATTAATTTGCTTGTAAAATTTGACTTTTATGATTATATTCGAATATATAAGAAAACATATCAAAATTTCTAAAAAAGTATCAAATAAAAATTTTCTGTAAACGCGAATATTTTATAAGGAATACGACATGGGACTAAGATTATACAATTATATCCGAATTAATTGCATTAAAATAATAAAAGACTAATTTTCAAAATCTTAGAAAAAAGTAGCTTCTTCGTATACGTAATTCCTAAAAAAAAAAAGTGTATCATGCCGTTTGTGTAATTAAAACTACTGACTTTATTGATGAATGTTTAAAACATAAATACATCAATAGACTCAAAAGAAAGAGTAGACGAAGAGTGTAACTTGTTTGTTAGTAACTTCATCGAAATACATAAGTAAGTAACTTATAATAATATTTCGAAGCTGTTAGAAAGGCTGTTAGAAAATTTTCTAAAAACTTGCACATCGTATCATCTGATAGCTAGACACTTTTAACGTTAACACAATCTATAGAACTTATCTATCAAAATAGACAATTGTTGATCACGTCAACATTTAATTTTTTCTTTTAGAGAAATATCAAATATTCGTGCGATTGTTTACTTTTCAATTGGATTACACAACATAATTATATAGAAAATATATATTAAAATAAAGCAGAACACTCGTGTGCAGAAGAAGATTAATCTCCAACAATGATAATTTTATAAATTAATTCATTTGATACATTGATCTCAAATACATATTTGACTATTTCTATTCATATAAGAAAGCTATTCATATAAGAAAATAGAAAAGAAAGAGAGCTATTTCTTTTATACAAAGATTGATAATATAAAACTATAAGAGATTTATTGACACGTATCATTGTCAATTACCATTTTTTTATTCACGGTAGCGTAGGAGGGCTAGGAACAGATATACTGAACGCGGCAATAAATACATTGATGATAGTTATTAGAAATACCCCGATTACCACGTAGTTATTGATTTTTCGTGCTTGTATCGATTTCGATTGTCCTTTTATGTCAAATCGACCTTTGAAAATCAAACTGATGCCTACGGCCACCTAAAATTAGTATTTTTTTTTTTCCATCAAATGTATCCGGGAAATAATATTCTTCGTTGAGCATTATAGTTTTACCTGAAGAAAAAGACTGATAATGATTAAGCTCAGAATCAGATAAAACGTGGAGCTCTCTCGTTGATATTCAATTAGGTATCTTAACTGGTTCGCGTTGGCGGTAATTAGGGCAACATCCATCATACCTTGGGCCACGGTCTTCTTCGCAGCATAACTATTGGATTGCTTGTACGCTTGAGACTTTTTGTCCGTTGTATCAACAGAAACAATATCTTTCACCACTATTTCTTCCACCGCGTCCGATTTGTTTTCTTTCTCGCTCTCATCCATGACTCCCCTTTTGCACTAATTTTAAATTTTTCTTCTTCCTTTGTCCAAACAAGCGGCGCCTTTGTTACTCCGAATCTTTTGTCCGAGATGGCACGTCGATGAACAAATAACATTTACTCCTTAAGTTTGATGGGAGATCGATCTGAGAATAGTATAAATTACATATTTATATACTTCCTTCCAATCTTAATGTTATTTATTATTGAAATGTGTTGTCCCATTATTAAACTAAACTAAGTACGATGTGGAAACTTTATCAAGAGAAATGTAAATACGCGTGACAACCAGAACTAAAATTCTATTGTTCTGCGATTCAAATAGTCGTCAACAAGACATATCACCTCACCTCAACACTAAACGTTTCTTCCGCATTCTGATCGCTTAAATCATCGATGGCCGAAATGAGGAACGCTTCGTTTAAACGGATTCTCGTGAAGGATAACAATAAAGATATTCATAACACAAGCGTCTTCTTATACGATTCTCTTCCCTTTCTCTTAGTACAGTTTTAACAGAATTAATTAAAATTATTGATTGACCAATGTCGAGAAATAGAGAATAACTTGGAGAGTTGCGCACTTACTTGAAAGAATTTGGCGAATTCAAAATATTGCCGGGTTCTATGTTGAAGAGTTCCACTTTATCAGAGGCATCGTTGGAAGTGAAATAACGATAACTATTATCGTCTTGTTATATACCAAAAGTGAAGCTCAACAGTGGTTTTGATGAAACCACATGTGACGCTTGCCAGAAGGGAAATGTTTTAGTTCAACAATGTTACATTCGATGCATGTATCAATCTAGACATCGTAATTGTGTTAGCTGCAGTATCACCGGCTTATCTTTTTCTAAGATAAAAAATAGCAAGAAATCGGTAACAATGATCGTGAACAATATTGTTATTGTTTCTCTGTTAATTCTTGCTTGACAGGTTAATCTATATTCGGAAAAAAAGTACAATTACAAAAACTATACCATTAAATCTAGGGAGATGGTTGCAGCAAGTTTATTTCACTGATGTACATGATCAGCATGAAATATCGATGTGTAATTGCATTGTTTGATCGTTTGACTGACTGCAAACGATCCAGATAACTGATTGTGTCCCAATTTTGATAAATGATGAGCCATCAAATGTGACGGCACGCTCTGAAATAATAAAAGGAAACAATCTGTTAGTATGAAAATTAGTACTATGTAATAGGAAATAGATTAAATAAAAAAAAAGAGGCCAAATATTGTTATTAACAATAGTAATTAATGTTTAACAATAATAATAACTACAATTACCGAACAGGGACAAATATTGTTCCCATTAGTAATGACAGAAATATATTATTCCTTCCCTATTACTTGTATTTGTTCAATTACATTCATATTGTGTAATTTATTTTGATGTACATTATCTAAAAATGATACTGTGACCTTTCTCTCAAGTATAGCCGATAAATTTGTCGACACTCCGTCACAAATATTTCTGAGCTGCGTTTCACGTTCTTGCGAAGATAACAGTTTGTACAAGGAGAAGGTTGTAATTGTTTAGATAAGCCACTATGCAGGTAAGTCTCGTGTTTTTTTGATATGTAGATAAATGATTAGAACGAAGATTAAGTAAATCTTGACTTTACTGATTATAACGATAGTATCTCTTGCATCAGTATATAAGAAATGAAGAAATTTACAACTGACGGCTGATTAGCTGTATTTATGCGAACAGGGTTGCGAAAAACTATGGGGAGGACGTTTCGTAGACAACATCGATTCAAGATTTCATGATTTCAATGCATCAATTGGTATTGATAAACGAATGTATGCAGAGGATATAGAGGTCTGTGTCTGAAAAAAAACAGAATTGTTTATTGTATGTTAAATAATAAACTTAACTAATAAATATTAAATTAATCAACTTTATTTTTTAATAAAATATTTTTTATACCAAGGATACAATTAAGAGAAAATATCCCTGTTACATATGTTTTACCTGTTTTATCAAAACATTGATAACATCAGAGATGTAAAAATTTGAATTAATGAGAATTTTCGTAAAATACTATTTAAATACTATTTCTGATAATTCTATAAAACAAAGAACCGGTAGCACATTTATTGTCAATATTCTTTAACGTTGTATAAATTATCCTTAGGGTAGTATAGCATATGCAAAAGCAATAAGATCAGCCAATCTTCTCTCACACGAAGAACTGCAAGTCATAGTGAGTGGTCTTGAACAGGTATGAAAGAAAGTTCACTGTAAAAAAAAAAAAAAAAAATAAAAAACGAACGAAAAACATATTGATTTTGTCAGGAAAAAAGCAGTAAACAAATATTTGGTTGCAGGTGAAAGCTGAATGGGAAAAGGGTCAATTCACCATACATGTTGAAGACGAGGACATCCACGCTGCTAACGAGCGTCGACTTTCGGTACATGCATGATTAATTGCAACGCTTATTTTTATCAAACGGAAGTGGTTACATGCAATACTCATTCTTACTCGTGTCTTCCATTTATCATGAATATTCATAGAAATGGAATTGAATTGTAACACGTTTTCTAATGAAATGTTAATTGTAAAATAAGATACTAATTTTATGATAAATTGACAGGAATTAATTGGACATGTCGCAAAGAAATTACATACTGGCAGGAGTCGAAACGATCAAACGATAACGGACATGAAATTATGGCTTCGGAGATCCATAGACGTTATTTTGAAGAAAATAACGAAACTTGTTCAGGCATAAATAATTTTACATTACATCGTTAAAAAGAGAAATTATAATTTGAATTTTCAAGACGAGTATGTGTCCACTTGCAGGTTCTCGTCGATCGAGCCGAGAATGACATCGAAATTATTATTCCTGGATACACGCACTTACAACGTGCCCAGCCAGTAAAATGGAGTCAATGGTTGCTTAGGTATAAATGAAAATAAATCGATATGAATGTAGTGGTTGTAAAGATTCTAATTAATTAATTAATTAAATCCATATATACTATCATTTAATGATACTTTCCTATCATTAGAAATCATGCTACAAAAATCAAATGAACCTAATGAAAAATATTATGAATAAATATATTGAGAAATAGAGGTACATACCAATATTTTATACAGCCACTACATGTTCTTAGCTTGAAATTTAAAATTAAATTTAGATTATTTAATGTAAAAGTATAAAAAATGAGCAGAGACATATCTTTGTTGATGATAGTTACGCGTGGTACGCGAAAACGGATGTGGAGAGATTGCAAGAGCTACGAAGAAGAGTAAATGTATTGCCTCTAGGCAGTGGCGCCATAGCGGGGAATCCTTTCCAAATTGATCGACGTTCCTTGGCCAGCGAACTGAATTTTTCTGAAATAACAGAAAATAGCATGTACGCTGTGGGTGACAGAGATTTTGTTGGTAAGTTGTGAACACTTTTCTTTATTTTTATATTTACTGACACGAAATAAACAACATGCAAATGTAAAAGAAGCAAATTTATGGAAGATGTCAGAACAATTTTTTCTCAACTTACATTCTGTACTGTGTTATTCTTATTTATATATTTCTCCTTCTTCTTTTCGAGCCGAGTTTCTCTTTTGGTCCTCATTAACGGCGATCCATCTGAGCCGTCTTTGCGAGGATCTGATCATTTATAGCAGCAAGGAATTCGATTTCGTGAGATTAGCCGATCGATTTTCAACGGGCAGTAGTTTGATGCCTCAGAAACGTAATCCTGATTGCATGGAGTTGATTCGAGGAAAAACTGGCACTCTCCTCGGGAAAGTATGTAATTCCATCAATTTCAGTGGTCAAATTGTTCGATTGTACATTCGTGGGGTTTCATATTCTAGTGCATGGGTTTCATGGCTACTTTGAAAGGAATTCCGTCCACCTACAACAAGGATCTTCAGGAAGATAAAGAAGCTTTGTTCTCCTCGGTCGATGTTTTAAATTGTATGTTTGTTGTTATCACGGGAGCGTTAGAAACGCTTAAGGTGAATAACAGGAAGTGTGCGGAGGCTCTATCATCTGATATGTTGGCAACGGATATAGCATATTATCTCGTACGGAAAGGGGTCAGTATTCAAAGTGTAAAAAAAACAAATGCTCAAATGTTCCCCTTTTACATGATCAGTTCTTACTAGATTCCATTTAGAGAAGCTCATCACTCGATTGGAAAGGTCGTTGCTCTGTCAGAATCATTAGGAGTATCTCTTTGCGAATTGACTCTTGAACAGTTACAAACTGTAAGGTAAAAAAAAAAAAAATTTCACTGGTTGAAGCATTCAATTTCTCACCCTGTGCATATTTTCTCAGCGAGACGTTCGAAGAAGACGTGATGCAACTTTGGAATATCTGCAACAGCGTTGAACAGTACAACGTAACAGGTGGGACCAGCACATCAGCGATAGCTGGACAAATCAGCAATCTTCGAGCTTGGTTACAGCAAGTTAATCCCGTCTGAGGAACAAAAATAAAACGCGGGAAATCTGTCGGAAAGCTGTCTGCCTTTTTTCAAATTCCGCCAATTTCGTTTCGACTGTTTCAGGCTCTCGCAATATGTCACCGCTCCGCCTGCATTGAGCGTTGCACAAAGAACTCCTTTCCCTCCCGTTTCCCACCTGAAAACAGTGGCGAATTACGCGAAACGATCAATGAAGCCGATTAGTTCATCAGCCGCCCCGTGACATTAATCAGAAACTAAATCGGGAACCGTGTCATGCAACCGTAAATTATGTTGGTCGAGAAAATAGGTTACGCAGCGATCGTATATTGGGGTTATAGATTCTCCCGTGATGTAATATATCGAGTATACAAGAATTTCTTCTCCGTGTCCGTGGTCGATTTATGTTCGATGGGTAAGTGGGCGGTGGTCACAGGATGTTCTCACGGGATCGGAAGAGCATACGCGGAGGCACTAGCGAGGATCGGGTTGAACGTGATCCTGATCAGCCCCGACACGGAGAATTTAAAGGCCATCGCGAGCAATATCGAGGCGATGTACAACGTGAAGACAAAGGTGATTAAGCTGGATCTGTCGGAGGGTCTTGAGACGTACAACGTGATTGAGAAAGAGATGTTTGGCCTAGAGATTGGCGTGTTGATAAATAATCTCGGCATGTCGTACCCGCATCCGGAATACTTTCTGGATCTGCCTCATAATGAAAAGATTTATATGAGTATCGTTCATTGTAACGTAGTCGTTGTAACGAATATGTGTCGTATCCTGTTACCTCAAATGGTCGTCAGAGGAAAGGGAGTAATAGTGAACGTAGCCTCAATGGTTGCTGTGTTGCCGAGCCCTTTGTTAACAGTGTTCGCCGCGACGAAGGCGTACGTCGTGAAATTCAGTAGAGACTTGCAGATAGAATACGGGAAACACGGTGTGATCGTTCAGTGCTTATTACCAGGCACAGTGACAAATCACACGACGGAGTCACCGCGGTCAGGATGGATGGTCCCCACACCTGAAAAATACGTACAGAGCGCGATCAGAACAATAGGCAAGGAAAACGTCACCACCGGATTTCTTCAACACTCCATATTGATCGGGATAATGAAATTCGTTTATCGAATATCGCCAAGGTCCATCATCGTTTGGATGATTAATATCATGGAAGGAAATCGGAATAACGCGCTTCGACGATACGTCGGATGACTTTGTAGAAATATCTGAATATACGATATATATCTTTGCCCAAGTAAAACGTTTTCTTACCTTTCTTCTCTACGTTTCATAGAGTAATGGTATATTTTAGATGCAGTTGAAGATCTTTTTCACTGAGATAGAATGTGAAACCGGAAGTGGACGGTGATAGACGGAGGAGTTATGTAGGATCTAAAAAATTAAGAATTAGAAAAGCAATGAGAGAGAAAAGAAAGTACTGTTAAAGTTTGAAAACTATGATTTACTTTATTTTATACTTATTTGGTCTTATTTTGATAAATCAAGGAAATTTGTTTATAAAGAGATAAAAAGAGTGGAGTTTCAAGGACTTGTTTGAATCGTATGATTGTGCAGTACTAGACACAATGTGGTTGGCCTATTATGTGATAACACATTAATTTAAAAGAAGGCAATGTTTTCACGTATCTCGTATTTCGGAGGTCATTTCTACGTCGTAAATCACGTTATCGATTCAATGTAGAAACGCTTCGAATATGTTTAAATTTTTGTCTGGTATAAATTTTATTAAATTTTTTTCTGGTATAATTTTATACTGTATTAATATATTATAATATACTATAATATATATTCTAAATACTATATATTATATATATAATATAATATATTACGTATACTATATATACTAAAAATATAGTATATACCATAAATGTAATAATTCTATATTATATTAGTTAGTTTTATAAGTATAACATAAAATAATTTTATTAATATATAAAGTATATAGTATATGTTATACTATAAAAATAGTAATTCTTTATTCTTATCTTTTTTATTATAATGTTATTGATTAAAGTGAAAATTATTTTTATAAATGTTTTCCAAATTAGACCCCAAGCTTTCTTTCTACATTCCACTCAACTTATTTCGTATTTGCATCCAATTCATCGAAGTATTTCACGCTGAGATTACAAAATAATACATAAACTTACATTTTCGCGCGTTTCACATTAATTTGTATTCTATGCGCATAATATTTTCAGTTATCGTTTTCAATTGTCAAAACTGACGTTTTCAATTATCAATTTCAATACGTTTCGAAAGTAATTTACTGGAAATTGAATATTATTCGAACGAGTATTTTAAAAGTAATTTACTGGAAATTGAATATTATTCGAACGATCAATCGAATAGAATTTGTATATGAATCTTAAGTATTCTAATTGAAACGACACAATCATAAAATGGTCACAAATTAATCCTATTAATTAGATTTTTTGTAAATAATAATTCACAAATACTGAAACACATCACCGTATAGTATCGTCGCAGACGAAGTATATGCCTCATATACCTCGTCTATGATTGGATATTGCCATCTATAGTTTACTTCGCCAAGGGATTCTATGCTCGGCCAATAAGGTTGAAAACGACACAAAAGTAGAAAATTAAAATTTCATGTTTCGATATATCTCGATTATTGTGTTACGATATAGTAGTTACATATGAATATAGACGCGGTGATGGAAATATAATGCTAAACTTCAATCCTATATGTGTGTATTACAAATAATGTTTTGTTCTATGTACATAATTCTTTAATACTATTTGAGAAGCAGGTTTGTTGACAAATTATATATATATATTTGAAATGATGCGTCAAATACTTGCTTTTTCAGTACGTTTTCAAAACATCTTTCTCCATTGTGATTATTAGAATGTAGCATTTGTAGAAAATATTTATTTAGCATTTTTCGTGTAATAAACATAATAATCTCTATTTAAGAATTATTACTCTTGTTTAGAGTAACAGAAGATATATTTGTTAACCCCTTTGCCGAGTATATCTATTATAATGTGACACTTAATAAACGTTGCTTGTTTAGATGTGAAAAATTCTATATTGACATAATTAATTCAATATATTACAACTGTTGATTAGTAAAATACTAGATTATACAATTTTTCTCAGATAGGCAACGCACATAAAATAAAAAAGGAAAGATCATTTGACATAAGATACAATAACATAATTAATCGATTGAAGCACTTAATTTGTGTCAAAATGGATAATCGACATTATGATAATCCATTCGAAGAGTATCCTAACTCTACATCAAATATTGTGAATGCAGCTACTAATGATGTAATTATTTATAAATTATTCAATAATTTTATTATAAATCTTTTATAAGTATATATATGTATAAACTTAAAGAGATTGATATTCATTAGATAAGTGAAAATTACAAAGCAACGGTACACGTATATACAAAGAGATTACTGAATAGATTGGAAGAAAAGAAAAACCATTGGACTTACAATGATGATTACTCTATGTACACTGGATCAGCAGGGATTGCATATATGTTTTACCAATATGGAAAGTGCTTCAATGAACCAGCTTACGTTGATGTATGAATTCTTATGGTTTTAAAAGATCTTTTTATAAAGATCTAGAAAGATTTTTAAAAAGATTTAGAAAGATCAATTATTTCTTACACATTTTCTTTTTTGAACAGAAAGCGATGGAATTATTAAGAATATGTGTAGATAAATTCAGGGGCAAAAGGGAAATTACATTTTTGACTGGCATAGTGGGTCCATTAGCCCTGAGTGCTGTTGTTTTTCATTCAGAAGGCTATTCTGATGTAGCACAAAATATGATTTCAAAGTATGTAGTTTAATAACATTTCATGCTTATAAATATACAAAATTTTTAATAATGTTCTATGTAAAAATTTGTAAATGATCTTTCAGGGTGAAATCATTATCATCTGTTGTTCTGAATGAAAGTAGCGATTTGCCTGACGAGTTGCTCTATGGAAGAGCCGGATATCTGTTTTCTCTTCTCTTTTTAAATTCAAATATATCTCCTGCTCCTATAGAAAATAATCTTATTAAACAGGTATTATCATAGAGCAACAAAATTTAAAGTAAATTTAAAGGTAATTGGTATTTCAGTCATAATAATTAAAAAAAATATCATATATCAGGTCATTGCACTCATAATTAAATCTGGAAATCTGTATTCTGCTTCAAGAAAGTACAAATCACCCTTAATGTATGTTTGGCATGACACAGAGTATATTGGTGGTGCACATGGATTGGCTGGAATACTTTACATGTTGTTACAGGTATTATATGGATACAAATTAAATTTTATACTTATCTGAGAAATTTTTTGTAATCTTTACACTTGTAAATTTGTTAATTGTTAATAGGCACATCAATACCTAACACAAACTCAACTAGAGAAAGATATAAAGCCAGCATTAGACTTTCTTCAGAGTATACGATATCCTTCTGGAAATTTTCCATCCTCTATTGGAAGCCAGACTGATAAATTGATACATTGGTGTCATGGAGCACCTGGAATGAGTATGCTATTCTGTTTAGCTTACAAGGTTGTTGCTATTTAAATTACCTAATATTTAGTAATATTAAATTTTTAATATATAATTAAATGTATGTGTACATAGATATATGAAGATGAAAATTATTTAAAAATTGCTTTACAATGTGGAGAAGTGATTTGGTCAAGAGGATTGCTTAAAAAAGGATACGGAATATGCCATGGTGTAGCTGGAAATGCGTACACATTTTTGACTCTTTTCCAGCAAACAAAAGTTATATTGAATTTATAATAAAGATATAACATAATTTTAAAAGATATTATCAGAATAAAGTATTGATTTTGTTTGCAGGATATAAAACATCTTTATAGAGCTTGCAAGTTTGCAGAGTGGTGTATGGATTATGGAACACATCAAATAAGATCACCCGATAGACCATTTTCCTTATTTGAAGGTATTTTATTATAAATGATAGACTTTTTTTCTTATTTGCGATTAATATAGAACTAATAATATATAATAATAGATACGTATAGAAATAATACGTATATTATTGTAGGTCTTGCTGGTACAATCTATTTCTTGATTGATCTACAACATCCTTTTTCAGCAAAATTCCCAGCGTACACCGTTTAAATCCGATATACCATTCATTCAATATTTATCTGACATAATTATTTATTCTTTATAAAAATTTTGTTTAAAAAAATTGTTTAAAGAATGAAGTCAAATAATTTACTTACACTATTAATAGGTAATTTAATTTACACTATCCATGCTTATGTTTATATTACATACTTATATTTTAAATATAAGTCTATATAATATAAATAAGTCTATGTATACTTTGCCAATATATAATAAATTTATGTTACAAAATAAGATAATTCTACAAATTAACAAATTAAAATTTTTCTAATTAATTTCTATTTAGGTGATTTGCATATTCACGATGGTTTGAATTGTCACGACAAGTACATAAGAATGTTAAAGAAATCATATCTAAAAACAAATTTTAAAAAATCGTGAAGTGAAAAATTTGCCATTCATTTTTTCATTGAAATAATGAACATAATCTAATGAATAAATACATTACTTTTCTATTTATAATATTACTTTATAAAAAGAATGATATAATAACAAGCAAAAATATTAAATTGCACAATAAGAAGAAGAGCATCGTCTCCTCCCATAGTCCAAGAGAAACAATGGTAAAAGTGAAACGCCGATCAAGTGTACCGGTAAACCCAACAATTCCTTACTACATATTGGTTAACAGGCCACTAATATTCATGACGGGTCGTGCAATGGTATTTGTAAAAGCGTAGAGAGGAAAGCTTTAAAAGAGTCGCCTCATTGAATCCAAAGTACGCTATTGCACGCTTATACATAACTATAATGTTTGTCAGAAATCTATTTAAATTATTAAAATATGTGTATTGAAATATCTATATTTCATATACTCAATATTTATCCTACAAAATATCTTACATTAATAGCATTCATAGCAGTTTTTTAATCCCGCGAAAACTCGTTGATTAATAAGCAAATATTATGATAATGTAATAACACCGATGTTAATAGATACGAATTCGAATCTTTGATCTGGAAAGTTACGTCAGGTGTCAACGAAAGCTACGCTAATAAGTGAAGTAATACGATGATCGTATTCATTCTTTCCTGTAGTAAGTATTAACTAATTGGAGGATGGACCTTCCGAATACACAGTGTGTAGTGGCGTGGTACCACCGTCCGTAAGGATTTCGAGTATAAAAGCCGCTTCTGCCGATCGCGCGCTTAGTTTCGCTCGACGATACGCAACCGATTGTGAAACGACGCACTCCCAACGTGAGTACCATTCACGAGATTGTTTTTACAATCTCTACCAGGTCTCGATCTCCTTTTACTGCTAACCTAGCGGCGTTTGTGACTTGCATGGACATCAAGGAGCTATATTTTTTGCTCGAGTCTTATTGAATATAGTTTCAAACATTTCCACCGGACTCTCGTTAATAACATCAGTGCGTTTGTTCTCGTGGTTTAGTCGACGTAAGTTCAAGATTTTTCATTCGAAGATTTAGTTATTAGGTTTGCTTCTTTAAAGTAAAGAAAGCTGATCAGCCAGACGGAAAGTTCTGTCTCACGTTGATTTATCGCTAACGACAGTGAAAGTGTGCGCGAACGCATCTTCCTGGGGAAATTAATCAATTTAGAAATCTGATAAAACATTAGAGTTATTTGTTGAAATAATAATAAGGAATACATTGGAATAATACAGAAGAGTAGCATGAATTTACAACGACTTATGAAAATTTTAATTTAATAAAATAATTTCACTGGAATATGTTATGATTGATGCACTCCAATTGACGCTAAAATATTCCATAATTATGTTATTGTTTTTAATTTTTTTCCATTTATTTTGTATGATAATTTAATTCAATAGTTTCATTATTCATTATATTTTCGTACTACTATTCTTTGATTTTTACGGCTCAAATTTACATTACGCGATATACAATGGTATTAATAATTAAACAAATTTTGACATTACGAATATCTGTCTTTAATTAACTGTTTCGCACGTTCCTCGTCGCAAGAATCGGATCAAACATCCTTGAATTCTAATCTTTTATACCAAAGAGAAAAACAAGACATTCTTTACTTTAGTGCGCGTTTTTAATATTTTTTTCTCATTTTTAGCATTTAATTCAATAATTTGTTTAATCTAATAAATAAATTTTGATAGTGTATCATTATATAGTAATATTCACAGCAATGAACGATGTTTCTTTAGAAATAATAAAATATAAAATTTCATAATTTTTTTTTTCTATTTTAGATGGAAATCCGTTTTACGTTATTAGCAACAATGTTGATTGTGGGAGTAGCTATGGCATTTCCACAAAAGGACGGTCAGATTTTTAGTAACGAAGCTATAAGGCAGGCGCAGAATACTTATCTTATTCCGAAAGATGCAACAATACAAAAGGTTCAAGAAGGCATCGAGTTGGCGGCCTACGAATCGATTCCCGGCGATCAAAAGATAAATCTTTTCGAAATTCTGGGAGCGCACGTTCCAACGGAAGTAGTGAACAATCTCCAAGCCCAGATCGATCAGATAGGTCGCAGTTAGACTTGCCTGCTCTCCTCCATCATCATCGTTTCCTTGTAAAAAACGTTTTGCACCTAGGTTTTATAACAACTATTTATAGAATGTGATAAGTCCTTTTATAATTTTGTACTTAGGCTTTTGCATTTTTTTTTTCATAAATAAACGACCGAGAATGACGCAATCTGTTTGTATGATTTTCTGTTCTTCTTTTCTTTTATTTAAAAACTTTTAACATAAAAGTGAAATGACAAGAACATTTGAATATTTAATTATAAAAATAATTATTTGAAAAAAGACGACGATTTATTTTGCTCGATTTTATAAAATTTGTTACATACTTAAAATACTTTGAACTGGTCTTTCGCCAACATCGTTCATAAAAAGAGTATTACAACACACATTCTGAATAATAATCATTCAGTGTAAAAAAAAAAAAAAAAAAAAATGTCATTCACAACTTGTGAAACATTGAACTAAGTCACTTGCCAGAAATGTATATATATATATATATATATATATACATATACACATTTATATATATACTTAGTGATGTTATGGAGAAAGCTGCAGAACCACTAACCAGAGGTACACTTTCACTTCACCTACATTTACATTACTATTGAAATGATTCTTCTTTGGCATTTATTGCATGGCATTGCCAAGAAATTCAAACATAATAACAAATTACCAGTAACAGTTCCTCCACGTCTATTACCAAATCAGATATTGAAAAGAAAAAAGAGATGAGTCGAGAATACGATAAAATTTAGTAAAATACTGAAAATACTTTCATTTTACTTTCGCTTTCATACGAACCTGAAATCCTGAATTCGATATCCCTTTCTTTTTTCTTTTGGCGAAGTTAAAAGGAAAGTAATTACATAAGATCTGAAGGACAATTGAATTACGCCTTTGTGCTGCTGCAAAGCCAAAAGAATTTTAACTCCAATGAAAGTAATAAAAATTAAGTGATAGTGTGCCGTCTTTAAAAATTTTTCAATTCTATTTTAATTTTATTTTTATGGGCACTCTGTCAATAAGTGATAATGTTTCGCATATTAATGATAAATAACTTAAAAAGTATTTATTTTGTTTACCAAGGTACAAATTTCAGAGCTATATGAACAAAATTATCAAAGATTTTGATCCATTCCAGCTTTCTTTGCTTAGTAAATTAATGTTTATGTTCTGGGCCTCTTATATACGATAGTTAACCCTAGTGCATTGTCTTGCATTGAGAATGTATTACAATTATACCTGTAAGTTTTTCTATTGTTTATTGTATAGTAACGAATTAATTTTCATGTATATTTAATAAAGAATGATATTCATAACAGACGAGACCAGTTGCTTTTTTCTTTTTATATATACTATCTGTACAATGAATGCCATTTCAATGCGTCAATGCGTTAATGCATTTTCAATTCACAAACTTAATAAGTTATTACAAATACATTTGAATACTACTAGCAAACGAACAATGGAATGAAACGATACGTGTTAGTAGCTATATTATATAATTAGACATTTTTTACTTAAAAAAGACTTTTATGTACATGTATTAAAAAAATTCATTCATAAATTCATGTTAAATTACTCGCACAAGTTTATACATATTACATCGCTATCATCCAGTAGATGTAGACAAGTATTTGTTTCTTATCAGCACACTATCGAACTTTTAAATAATATCAATAACAAATCGTTTGCTAACAGTTTAAATGAATCAATGCAAGAAAATGTACTATCCTTCTAATTTAATCGACGTACCATAACAAAGTTTAATATAGAATCAATATTCGGTGTTCGTGTTTTCATATGTGCTTCCTTCAATGCGTAAATAACACGTTCCTTATTTCCTGTAATGTATGTTGGTAATTTAAAAGAAAGAATATTATAAATTGGAGTATAAATATAAATTATAAAATATTTATATATACTTAGATTTCTTCGATCCCCTATCATTTCGCTCTTCACTGTCTTCGCGAGATCGTTTCTTATTAGACGAAGAATGGTTAGATGACTTGTGTTTGTCATGCTTATCGTGTTTGTCGCTCTTCTTGGGACTAAACAGAAAACAAAAACCTTAAATGTAACATCGTCAAGCATATATATGTTAATGTTAATCACCTGTGCTTGGATGATTTGGAAGGAGACACTTTCTTGTGTGATCCTCCACTCCGCGATCGATCCGATCTTTAATTATTGAAGCATATACTCAGCATAATTTTACCACAAAATTTCTTTATATGTTTAACCCCTTCGTATCCGAGAACGTAATGTATATTTCTTTATACAAAATTGCTCATGATATATTCTGGGCGAAATATCTTGAAAAGTAATATCAAACACCACATTTTGAATTATTTTTTTCAACTTTTTATTTACTTAACATTGTTAATACCTTTCATATTCATAAACGCGTTGTCTTAGAAATTTATTTTTATTCGAATCATTGAACGAGAAGTCACGAGCTCTAACGAAAAGACATATGCAACATCTCGTCTCAAATATCATGAATGATATTTCGTCCATAGATGCGAAAAGGTTAATATAGTCGAAAATCTACATTGTGAAAAGAAGTGCATTTCTTACCTATGCTTGTCTGATGACGATGATTTTTTATCTTTACTACTGGACGAACTTTTGCTTTTTGAACTTGAAGAACTCTTGTGCTTCGAATTATGCCTATAAATTATACATCTGAATTAGTGTCAATGTTAAGGAATATAGTAAAAATTTAATTTTATTGCTATCTTCGCTGTTTTCGCTTCATTATATCTGTATAAAAATATAAGATTGAACAATATACCTGTCTTTTGATGGTGAAGGTGAATGTTTTCGACTTCCTTTCTTCTTTTTACTTGAATTATAATCATCATGAAATCTATCCTCTCCTCTTTCTTTGTCTTCCTCAGCTGCTTCTCGTTCCAAATCAGACCAGTCTTTACCAGATTCCTCAGAGCTACCCAATTCTTCTTCTAAAATGAAAATTTAGGAAAAAAAAAAAAAACAAAAACAAATGTTAAGTAATAAGTCAAATACATTCTTTTAATATCTAAATAAAGTTTTTAAATATTACCTTCACTGTCTGAGTCTTCTGAAGCTTCAGAGTATTCAGAATCATCATCAGATTCCTCTTCAGTGTCAAAATCAGATGGCTACAAATAAAACATAACAATTATTACTCTTATAATATATAGATTTGTATTACATTATCTGTAATTATTTAGCTAAATATATTTCATACTTCATAAGCATCATCCTCTTCTTCTTCTTCGTCTTCTACCTCATCGTTTTCTGCGTCACTTTCTGGATCTAAGAAACTCCAACCACCGCTATCAAAGAATCCTACAGGATCATCCGTGATAGTTTTCATAATCTTTGTCCAGTTCAAAGATTGTACACCTTCTGTGTATCTGATATCGCATGAACTAAAAAAGATGTTACACGTTTATGTTTTATTATCGAGAAATTTTCAATAAAGAATATAAAAAAACGCCAAAAAACTTACTTTAGCCATTCCTTTACATGATCCAGCATATTCATAGGAATAGCATTCAACATGGCGACTTTTCTATGATAGTCTTTGAAAACAAAAATCATATCAAAATTTTTCAGATGAAACTGTACTCTTTCAAAATGAACAAGTTCGACATCTTCTAAAGTTATAACAAATGGAGGCTGAAATATGAAAATAAATGTTAATAAGTTGATATTTATATTTAATATAAAAGTAATTACATATGAAATAAAGTTTACCCATTCTGTAAGATTTACTAAGCAACCACTAGTGGGTTGTAAAAGAACAGTACTCCTGAATGGTGCTCCGGGGAATCCCAGATCCCTGAATGGTGTGTCAAATTCGATTTCTTGTTTCGTCATGCTTTCGACCTGTATACAAATAATAATATTTGATCAGTGAATAAGAAATGATAAATAAAATGCTTGACTCAATTAACAGTACCTTTTCGCAAAAACTTTTAAAGGCAGTTTTTAATTTGTGCCTAAGTTCTCGTTCCGATTGTTCAGCAGCAAGATCATCACGGTCATGCATGTGTTGATGTTTTCCTAAATCTGTCGTGATTTCACCAACTTCTGTGTAAAACTGCACATCTACGTGCTTCTTTTTACCAAACATAATAGCGTGCTGAAAATAATTTCTATTTAGTAATTGATCGCTCATAACAATAAATATAACAAAAACAAAGATATATACCTTTAAATGAAAATGAAGCAATATGATCATTTCACCATCACAGGGTTGGAAAAAGGCATTCTTAATATTATTGTAAAGAATGTCAACTTTATCTCCTCTAACTGAAGTATAACGGAATCCATTTACATGTGCTTCTAAACCTCCCGTCATTCTCTTCGAGACGATATTTGGTCGAATGTACAAGTCTTTCAGTTTTGGATTACCCTTATTTTGAGAGAGTATTAAAGTGTCCTGTTTTACAAGGTCCTCCTTTTCTCTCTCCTCTGCTTCTCTGTTTTTAAATTTCTTCTGAACTTCTTTGATCAATCTAAAGGCTGTGTTTAAATTAGAAGATGGTGCTGAAATTTCACCAGGCTCTTTGGTGTTTGTACTACGATATGTTCTAAACATAAAAATAAAAAGCTCGTTGTCATATGTTTGTATAATTGGTTTTAAGATCAATTTAAATTGCGAGTAAACATAAAAAATGAAAATGAAATTATGTACTAACACTTCCTTCACGAATGTAGCATCGGGTTGTGGGTAAGATCCACCTTCGTTCCGTCCCATTGTGGCACCAGGATGAAAAAAATTTATTCGGAGATAGGTATAATCTCCTTCTACTGATTGAGAAATATTTTTGATTGTGGATATGTGGAAGGGCACAGGAATTCCAAAGATGGGTAAAATTACAGTTTCATATTTTTTATCTGAAATATAATTGTGATGTATAATAAATACTGTATGTAATGTAACTTTATTTTATAAACAACATACAAATGCACTTACCAACGAATAACTTTAATTCCTTTACTTCCGGTTCTCGTGGCACATGACTCAAACTTTTATATGATACTGTTGATTTCCGTATCTTTTCTTGTTCCTTCCCACCAGATTGTTGAGCTAATCGAGCTTTTGCAACTTCATTTAGCTGTTGTGCTAGTTCTTTTTGATGTTGCTTTCTTTTTTCCTCAGAACTGTGTTCTGTTCTCAACTTAGATTCTATTACAGCTGTTCTCTTTCCACGACCAAGAATCTCAGGTTTAGGTTCATTTTCTTTCCCACTTCCTTCCTCCTCCTCGTCCTCTTCATCCTTGACAAATATTCCAATATTTTTCACCTTTTTCTTCGACGGTGTTAAATTTGTAGCAGGTTGTCCCTAAAATTATTTTATTATAATTCCCATTCTTTGATACATTAAAAAAGAAGTGATAATGTGTTTGAAGCATATAAATCAATACCTCATTAATCATAACTGTATCACCAATGAAAAGTGCATAGATCTTTCCTTCCTTATCAATGGCTTCTGAATTCGTAAGATTAGCCAGTCCAACATTTACGTTGAATACCATGCCTTTTTTTAATGTTGCATGAGTTTTTGGACCAATAAGTAACGAACTTTCCCTAAACTCGATACCCATTGCAAATCCAAAATGTTTAGTTAGATGGTCAATCATTTCTGGTTTCTCATCTTTTACGTACTTCACCCCCGTTTCGTATACTTCGCTTATCTTTACTCCAGCCACTAACTTCTTCAGAATCTCTTCTTCTAATTGTAAAAGGAAGTTATAATTATCCTACAATGAACGCACATAATTAATTAAACCTATTCATTATTAAAGCATATTATTATTTATTTGAAATTTACCTCAATGGATTTAGTAGGATTTACTAACAGTGTTCGAACTATATTGGAACAATAAGATTTGTAACGCGCTCCAAGAGAGCAAACGATAACACCGAAATGCAAAGTGTTTTTATCGCTAACGACACTAAACTTTAGGGAATAATTCCCACCACTTTGTATTATCGCAGGGTAACACATATCAACTTGAGTAACATCGACACTAGTCACATACTTCTTATTCGTTATAGCAGCGTCTACACCTTCAGCAAGCTTCGAATGTTTAACTTTCTAAAATAAAAATGTTTACATATTAGAAAAAGTCTTCGCATGTGATGTTTCGCAAGTTTAAGAATAAAGCATATTTCTACGCGAATAGAAATCGAATACCTTATCAGAATCTATAATTTCCATAATTTGATCCTTAAGATACTTTGTAAAAACGTCCACAGATACTAAACACGCTTTTTTTATGGTGTGAATTTCAGCGTCTTCTTTTGGACACATTACATACGCTGCTGCAGCACTTACATCAACCTAAAAAGATTGACGTATATTATGAAACAATAATCAAAGTATGTTGTATATTAAGAAAGGAACAACACACACCGTATCAAAAGATTCTGATTTCAATGTAGATCTCCATGCATCCATAAAGGCACCTGGATAATTTTCTTTGGAAAAAACACCCAATGTTTTACCCTTCTTACTTTGTTTTATAATCTCGATAAGTTTGACAAAATTTGCCTTGTCTTCATCGTTCTTTGAAAAAAAAAGAAAGATATTAACACCAACTTTAAAAGTAAAATATTAAAATTATACTTGACATTAAATATTAAATAAATACATATTAATTATATTAATATGATAAAACAGACTATGAAAAATACATACTCTGTCTCTCACAAACAATTTCACAGAAGGCACGCCAGTTTCTTCTGTTTTCTGATTTTCTAGTTTCCTCAAAAATTCAATTTTTTTCTTACTAGCTAAAAAGCAAATAGACTCCTCTGCTAATATCATTATAGTATCTGTAAGTTCATAACTGAGGAGCCACGTCTGAAATAAAATGTAAATGTTAATTTTACCTTCTACATTTACATAACAACAGAGAATTAAAATTCATACAATAAAAGTAGATTATACTATTTGTACAATGTCTTTCTACAATTTGTATAATACAATCAAGAAAAATTATAACATTTCAGTTATATAATTGAAATTTATTCAGATATCTATCAATGCCAATTCGAGCACACACTTAATAATACTTACAATTTCAGAAATTGTTCTTTTTTTTTTCACTGTAACAAACTAAGAAGCTATACGCTCGTGCTCACGAAAAATGCAGATCTCTATCAAAAATGTCTATCTTTTAGAATTACAACAATTAGGTTATTATTTATTATTGTTTATGAGTATACAACAAGTATACAACAAGCAAAAGCATATTGGAGCAATATAAAGGGTACAGCTTACTTGCAATGCTGTTGATTTGCTATACACGATATCTTCATCGGTGCCCACTGCAGAGACAAGGCAATCCATTTTACTAAAACTATCGTCCGTACCAACTTCCCCGTCCTGTTCAACAAAAAATGATCATTCGTTGTTTGTCAAATGACTGCGTTTGTTCTCAAACAACGGTATCAAACATATCAAATATCTTACCTTCCACGCGGTATAAAGCCGCTTCATGCGCCGGAAAAATATTTCCTTATCAACGGATACGTTTGCCATAATTTCTTGTTCTTAACCTTGTGGTTCTGTGAAATCAACTCAACATAATTACAACGCCACCGAATATTCGTCGCTCGTGTTGCGGAGATCGCGGGGATTTATAACCAAACCGCAACCGTAGTCCACAAACTATAGCCCACGCGGCGGGAACGGTTTAATGCGACGTAGTCGTTTGCCAAAACCAACAAGACTTAAACGACGCTCCAAGCGGCCGCTTGTTTAACTAACATTCACACTACACGCGTATTAATGATTAATTTTCTTTCGCGCGTAAAACGTTGAAATCGAGTTAGTAAGCGTCGAGTGTTGATAAACAAACGTACAACCTGCGCCGTTGCATATTCACCTTGCGATACGCTGTGAATATGACCGCAGGTATTTCTGGCGCGAACTTTGAAACGTCGCGAAATTCGGATTGCCACGTCGTGAACATTTTCAATGATATTTCTGTCAAATATTTAGCAACTTTCACTCTCTTGATCTTGCAAAGGGGGTTCTTGAACTTTTGTAATTCAATTTCACTTTTGTTACAGTAAATATGTCATTGTGAAAATTGTTTAACAACAGAAAAACGTTAATGAGAAAACATGGTATGATGAAAATGTTATTTGAGTTGAGAAATTATTTCTATTACAATAAAAATAACGAAACATCTTCACATATTATCGTTATGATCTACAAATAGTAAATACTGATTGATTACAATATCAAATTGATAACAACATGAAATTGATAACAACATCAAATAACGAATCTTAAAACCGCGTATTATATGGCCAATAGTTAGCGCACACATGTCTACTTGCGTGCAGTATAAAACATATACGTGCAATGTTGAGTTTTACATTAGGGCGTCAAGTTATTTTGCTGTAAATAAAACTTCTTACCTTTATGAAATATTATATAGAAAAATAATTATTTTAAAGTGATAACGTGACTCTTTACGACCGTGTACATACATTCTCGCGATAGTAACTTAGTTAAGCTCTCCTGAAAAAAACTGGCGAACACGATTCACTGACATCGTTGCTCGTGCCGACTTATTAGTGGTATGTCGTCGAGCGAGTGAAAGACACGCAGTTTTCTACTGTTTGATGCCTTTTATCCTGCAACTTGGCAAAACTGTCTGACGGTGAATAATGTCGACTAATTTGAATAAGAACATCCTTGATCGGAGTTACATTTACAAACATTAACTGCAACGCTGTAACATGTCGCTATAAGGAATAATGAAACGAGTTACGAGGAAGAAAAAATTCTTTAAAAGATTTCGACTTAATTGGAGCAAATTATGTTTCTTTTAACGGTCAGTCGAACTTAAATTGCAGGAATACTGATGATTGTTGATGATTTTTAATTACCGCGAGAGAACACCTGTGAAACCCGTATCAGAGATAGCGCAACGGATCATGAATGTAAGCAGAAATTTTACATTATTCGTGTTTAACGTAATGTATACAAATGCGCACAAATATTTGTTTTTATTCACCATATTCGTAGTGCATATTCTGCGTTGATTCATATACGAAACTTATTTCCTACAGTAAATTTTTTTTCTTTCTAGCAATAAACTTCTTGTTTTAAATATTTCGTATTTGTAAATCTTAATATCTCCTTTGGAGATACGCGAGAAAATAAATTTCTCGTTATAACAAACATAAATAAATAATAAATAAATAAATGAATTTATATTTATCGTCGTAATGCAATTTGATCATAAAAATATTTTATTACTTCTCCTCCAGCGATTGATACGAATTTTTATATATCTGATATTAATTTTAGAAAAAAAAAGGAAAATTGTATTTTAATGATTATTTGATGGGAGATTGATGTTAGGAGACACTTGAATGTATTAGTATTTGACGAGTTTTATTTGCCTCTTTTATGTAAACTATTTTCAGAATGCCTTGTTCTACATTATTCTGGCACTTAGTAGACATGAACTTGCTTATGTAACTGATGTTAGATTACTGACCCGATGCATTTGTTTTCAATGACATCTTCCGAATGTAATTACTTTGAATAGTGGTTTATGATTGATCAGTCTGTGACACTGCATGAGACTGGTTCATCCAATATATGCTCATTTATCAGAATTGACAACATAGTTGTTGCCATAACCTTACAATTGCAATAACCAGTGTCTTTTAAGCTTGATAAGTCCCAATGCTTAAAAGCATGGATGAATTTTTGAAAAAACCGGAACATACTTGTTGCTTTTTATTGTTGACAAGTTACATACCAAATTATTGAACAATTGGAATCAAATTTGTATTTGTTTGACTTATTGATAAACAATTCTTTTCAACTTTTTACATTTGCAATTAATATAGCCCCAATTCTTTTTATTGCTTTATCACGTAATTCTCCATTTAGGTGGTCAGCATAGCAGAGAGGCGGTGTCGAGAAGGTGGTTGACACGCCTTCGTATTTTTGAAATGATTGAAAGCGTATCACGAAGAGCGTTGAGTGGCTCCAGTGGGAGCTACCACGTTCGTGGTGCTGAATTAGCAAGGAATCGTAGATTGAAATCTCTTTCTGCTACTGTTGTCTTCCTCGATGACACACAACACACATTTCAACTAGATGTGAGTCTATATGATGATTACTTTAAACAGAAATGATTTTTTGGGTTGTATTGATGATGTAAATGTCTCAAAATGTTTTAGAAAAGAGCAAAAGGACAAACATTACTAGATTTAGTATTTCAACATTTAGAACTTGTTGAAAAAGATTATTTTGGCTTGCAATATGCTGAAAATGGTGCCACAACATGTACATATTCACCGGATGTTATGGTAAATTTCTTTTTTCAATTTATTAAAACCTATTTAAAAATTTTGTACTAATTGAATAGCATCATAATTGATTTAATGTTTTAGAGATGGTTAGATCCTAGCAAACCAGTGAAGAAGCAGATAAGAAGTAAGGGTAAAGATCGTATTCAGATGCTTGTTTATATAACCTAATATAAAAAGATAAAAAATAATTTAATATAACGTATTGTTTTAGGTGGACAATTCTACTTCAAAGTAAAATTTTACGTATCTGATCCTAGCAAATTGCAAGAAGAATATACTAGATACCAATTTTATTTACAAATAAGAAGAGATATTCTTCAAGGAAAGCTTCAATTACCACCAAGTACAGCATGCCTTATTGCTAGTTATACTGTTCAATGTATGTATTTAATACATTTTAATATACATTTCATTGTAAAATTATTATATTTATTATATTTTTATGTAACAGCTGAGTTGGGTGACTATCATCCTGAAGAACATGGACCAGGATATCTTTCTAGATTGCAGTTGATACCAGGACAAACTGAGGAAATGGAAAAGAAAATAGCTGAGCTACATAAACTGCATAAGTATGTCAAAGTTATATTTGTGAATAGTGTAGTATAGTGTGAATTTGTAAAATTTATAAAACATTATATATTTATGTTATTTTACAGGGGTCAATTACCAGCAGATGCAGAATTCAATTTTTTAGACCATGCAAAGAGGTTAGATATGTATGGAGTAGAATTACACAAAGCTAGAGTATGTACTTATCTTCTTTTAAAAACTTTTAAAGGTCTGTTTTATTTCAACTTCTATATTTTTTTCTTTTTTTTTTTGTAGGATTCAACAAATAAAGAGATACAATTAGGTGTAACGTCTATAGGTTTAGTAGTGTTTCAAAATGGAATAAAAATCAATGTTTTCTCATGGTCAAAAATAGTGAAAATATCATTTAAAAGAAAACAGTTTTTTATTCAACTGAGAAGAGAACAGGTACTTTAAATATTCAGTTTGCAATCAAAAGGCTAATTTGCATTTTGTGTACAAATCAAATTTAATTGCAGTCAGAAAACTATGATACTCTGCTAGGCTTCAACATGTTAACATATCGTAGTTCGAAAAATTTATGGAAAGCATGTGTAGAACACCATACATTCTTCCGACTTCATAGTCCTAAAACGAGGCCAAGGCGTTTTCCACTTACTTTGAGCAGTAGATTTACATATTCAGGACGTACAGAATTTCAAACAGTTGAAGATGGAAAGCACCGAGCAAGAGTAGAAAGAACGTTTATACGGTAATATTAATTTATTCGATATTAACAACACAATATTAATTCAATAATATTAACTTAATAATTTAAATCATCTAGATCGCCAAGTAAAAGATTAGTACACGGAGTAACATCAGGCCCAATTATCGAAGAGAAAGGAAAATTATCAATGCCTCCTGGACGACCACCTAGACCATATGATAACAAAGTTCAATCTCTTGGTGCTCGTGAACCTCGTCGAGCATGGGGTGAAGGGAATCCTAGTGATGAGTTGGTTGAAATATATTTAATATCTTTAACTTTTTATATTTATATTAATTTTTATTCTTTACCATAGTGAAGGAGGTTTCTTATCTCTCCGTGAAGAAATAACGAGTTCGCATACACAGGGCAATGCATTTTCGCCTGTATTAGGTTCTAGAGTTTTAAGTTACGCCGACGATGATACAACTGCTGAAAGGAACATTTATGATCTTCCTGACTATAGCGAACCTACAAGTTCGCCTGCTCCTCAGGTATTTATTCTTAATATTCTTATAATTACATTATAGATGTAAAATAAATCCGAGTATTTGTAGATAGTAGAAGATGGATTAGTTACGATATCTCTAACGCCAGATGAACAAGGTCGATTTGGATTTAATGTGAAAGGTGGTTTAGATCTTGATATGCCTATTTTAGTCTCGAGGGTCGCTCCAAATACTCCCGCTGATCGTTGTTATCCGAAATTAAATGAAGGAGATCAGGTTAGTTACATCTTGATGAAGTTAGATTGAGCTTATTTTCGAATTATCTGGGTTAATTTTTGTAAATTATCTACTGTAAATTTGTTCAATAAATAGGTAGTGTATATAAATGGAATTGATGTCAGTGGTTTGTTACATGAACATGTAGTAAATCTAATTCGTCAATCTCGTGATTCGGGTTCCGGTGAACTGACATTAACTGTGAGACCGAATGCTTTATACAATGCTTTAGCTGGTACTGATGAAACGTCTGAAGAAGAACCTCCATATAGGTATTACAAATAATAAAAATAATATTTAATACATTCATTATGTTGACAATTACACATAAAAGCTAAAATAAAAATAAAATAAAAATATTCAATATTTATTTTTCTCTTGAAATAATGAGGTATGTTCCGGATGCACCTCATGCAGCTATTGGATCAGATGCATTAGCACAATCCATGTTGCTTCTTGCTGATGGTCTCGCAAGCGGTGCTTTAATCGCGCAGTATGAACAACTCTATAGAAAAAATCCTGAACTTACATCTCTCGAATCTAAAAAGCCTGAAAACCAGAGCAAAAATCGTTACCGAGATATTTCACCATGTAAGAATTTATACTAACGAACAATTGAAGACATGTGCTTGACAAAATAATAAAATTGCAATTTATACAGATGATGTTACACGGGTAATACTTATGGGCTCTGCAAGTGGAGATTATATTAATGCTAACTACGTAAACATGGAAATACCGGGATCGGGTATTATCAACAGATATATTGCCACTCAAGGACCTTTATCCTCGACTGTTGCTGATTTCTGGCAGATGGTTCTCGAAGCAGGCAGTACTCTCGTTGTAATGCTTACAACTTTGGTCGAACGTGGCCGAGCAAAATGCCACCAATATTGGCCTGCGCTTAATGAAACTCTTACGTTACGAAATCTCACGCTTACGTCTACTGCTGAAAATGTTGAAGATACTTTTATATTTCGAGAATTCATACTCCGTGATATTAATGTAAGAAACATGTTGCAAATATTATTTTATATTGTTACAAATACAATGGTAAAATGTCAAGTGTTGATTAATTTTTTATACTTTAGACTGGAGAAGAAAGAGATATAACGCACATGCAGTATTGCAGTTGGCCAGATCATGGAGTTCCCAGCGATTGGAGACAATTTACTACATTTACCGAAAAAGTACGGGCAGCTCGAACGGGAATAGTGGAGCCCGCAGTTGTTCACTGTTCTGCTGGAATTGGCAGAACAGGTGTTTTAGTCCTAATGGAAACGGCACTGTGTCTTATCGAAGCGAATCAACCCGTGTATCCATTAGACATTGTGCGATCTATGAGAGATCAAAGGGCAATGATGATACAAAATGCTGTAAGTTGAAATTTACAAATCAAATTTTTAGATTGAAACTCATTATGTGTAAATCTCCTTTATATCTAATGAAAAAAATATACTTCTTTTAGAGTCAATATAGATTTGTATGTGAGGCGGTCCATAAAGCTTATAGCGAAGGAATAGCTAAGCCACTTCCTGAATTCAGTAGGTGAAAATATCACAAGTTCGAAAAGCATTGTAATTACCATTCTTTTTACATTTTATCAAAATATCACATCACTAGAGCATAATTTTATATTCTGACAATAATGTATACTTACAATATTCATTAATAGGAGAGATATATACACTACTATAAATAGGTATTTTCTATCCGTTACGAATATATTTTTTAACTAGAAATTAATTACTCGAAAAACACCATAACTTTTCACGCCTTAGAGCTTATCCTCTTCTTAATTTATGTACTAACATTTGTAAACAATGAAATTTCGATAAAATTAAGTTCATTAATAAGCTAAATTTAAGCTAATCTCAAAGTATTATTTGAAATAATTGTTTCTTATGGCTTACTTCTGTTATTATTACTACGATCAATCCTTATTTCTATCCGTAAAGTATAGGTGAAGGTATGAAAAGTTAAACTTCAAATGATACTGCTAATATACTTTTAAAAATTACAAAAATCAAATTCTTTCACTAGACATAATTAGTATTTTGCTTAATTTTAATTATTGCTCATATAGTGAATTAATAACAGAAACATCTTTATACGAAAATTAATATAGCGCCTTAAACTTTGTAAATGTTTTAGTATATTAGCAAAAAATTTAGAAATACATGAGGTGCCAATATAAAAAGATTGCCTTGAAAAGAAACCATAAATTATTACGAAATATATAAATTAACACGAAATCGAGAAATATCGAATGTATAATCGATCTAAGTAAGTTATAGCATGTGATTGCATAAAACAAAGCTATGAAACAATTTAAAAATCATTGAATATTGATAAGAAAATGTACACGTACTACTATTTATTTATTTTATCATATTGAAAGTAATAATATATTTATATCATAAAAAAATTTTAACTCCTGGCGATTTATTGTTATTTTAATCTGATTAAAAATAATATTTTTCTTATGGCAATTAACGTTTAATTCCATTTATACAATGTACAGTTTAGTTTCTATTGAAATATCAAAATCTATTTGCTCGTCTTACAAAAGAGTACAAGTTTAAATTGCATTTTTTTGCAATTTTATATGATAAAAAAAAATACAATGATATTCTAATGTTGAATAAGATTATCTTAAAATAAAATTGAGAATTACGAAGAGTTTAATGTCCTCGCTTTAGCAACTAATTTAATATAATTTCATACAAAACAAAAAGTGAATCAAATAAAGTAATATATAATATATTGAAAAATATTTCGTCCCGCGGATAATCTCATTCAGAGTTTTTAATATTCTTTGAATTTTCTAATAATGCTAACAAAATGTACTATTTTTTATAATCGTATCATGTGTTCTACTTTCCGCCCATTTTTATAATGTTAAGATACTTTTATGTTCTATACATATGTAACGTATATTAATGAAATTATTTTTTACGCACAAAAGTATGATGAAATTGTAGAGTATCTAAGTAAATCCACGTAACAATCTATAAGTTAATGATACAATTGTATGTACAATTATAAAGCAGTACATGCATGAAAGAAACAAGGTCATAAAAATTAAATAAAAGGTTCTACTTACATTATATATTATATAACGTTGTACATTTGGTATAAAATATTTGTACAGATACAAAATAGAAACTTAATAATGCAAAGCATTCATTGTTTATGTGTACAGCAAAACGTTATGTTAATAACAGAATATCATAATATGTATGTACATTATAATCATTTGCTATATTTTTCTTTTCTTTTTTTATTTTGTTCGTGTAACTTTCTTCAAAATATTGACAAATTACCTGCGATTAGGATTGAATAGTAATTGTAGTCAAAAGATTTCATTTCTTTAATTTATACAATAGTCTAGTTAAATGAGGCTAAAAATCAATACAAAACATAACATTGTTTTATAAGTAAGACTGGATTGCAGAGGATCATGTTTCATTGTTGAATACTTCTGATAACGAACGATTAAGAATTAGGTGAATCTGTTATACATAACAGTAAGCACAATATTAAAAGCACAATGTTATTTTTCGAGTTAGTAATGATTATATGAATTATTAACAATAGTGCCTTGTATGTGTGCATCCAAATCATATTCATAAAACAAAAATGAATACTCTTAATAACTATTATATTATAACTTCGTTTCACTCGATAGATTTCTTTTTAATTCCATTTTATTATTGTTTCTTTGTAACATGTATATTTTCTTGTATAATTGCCCACAGTTTTTTTTATAATTTATATATCCTCAATTATGTAAATATATTTACATTTTATTCAACTCCTGTTTCATAAATTATAATTTCATAAGAATTGCTAATTATTTATTTTGTAGTTATGTTAATAAAATAATATTATAATTAATGATAATTATAGTTAATTATAAGTTCAGACTGGACAGCACTAGAGTGCTACATTATTTTGAGTTCAATTTAAATTCAATATAAAATATAAACATTAAAATAATATGAAAATTTAATTGAATAGCATTTTTTTAAATATTTTTTACAATATTCTTATATTCTCAAATATTATATGCATTTAGAAAAATAGAAAAAAAACATGTAAAACAATATTGAAAATTAAAATTTAAGATATATCGAAAAAGTTTAGATATAATATTTTAGAATTAATTTTTATTAAATAGATACAAAATACAGTAATATCTAGGAATAAAAATCTTGCGTTTCTTTATAGTATGTAATTTGTAGGTGAAACATTATCGACACACTTCGTATAAAAATAATTACTGTATTTACAATTTTACATTTTTAGTGAATACTTTACATGAATATTGTTTACTATTCACTTGAGTTATTGATTAAAAAGTACTTTTTAATATTTATATAAAAACAGTACAAAGAATATTAAATAGTTAATTAAAATATTTAAAAGCTACATTTGTCAAGATTTATCTGTGTACGTGCCAAATCATAACTCATGAAGCAATTATTAATTATGAATAAAGTGCCACAAATTTTCATAACTCAGTCAGTAGTTGTCTAGTCTGATTACTAATTTGTATTTTTAAAATATAAAATAAAAAGATTTTATAACAATTCATCATTTAATGCTTGACTCACTTCCCTTTATGGAATTTTTTAAAATTATAATTTATATTTTATCAGTAACATTTTGTTTAAACATCAATTTTAGCATTAGTGATCTTTGTACAATATGCAATATTCATAAGAATATTCATCAACAATTTTATAACAACAAATATGAATATTTCATATTCTTTTCTCACATATCACAATTGAAATAAAATAATGATTATTTATTGTGTATAATAATTATGATTATCAAGATCTATTTTTATATAAAATTTATATAATATGTTGGAGTTGTAATTTGCAATACGACTTACAAATTAAAAAGAAATGTCCTTCTTGTCCAGGGATATATGTCGATGGAATAATGTGATATGTACCTGCTGGTACATCCTCTAATTCGAGATAAACAAATCCGGATCTACATTAAATTAAATTATTAATAACTACTGTGTACAATGTATGATGTATCATTTTCTACAATACCTGAATGGGCCAGAGCTTTTCATTTTGAATGCAGTAGGTGCTTCAGAATCATTTAATACAACTGTTAAGATATCAAATCCTATTTGATATTGTTTAGGTCCCTTCAATATAATAAGCAAATAGTTATTGTTACTTGAATTTTCTAAAATCAACTGATAACGCGGATTATTTTGATACGTTGGATGATTGCTACATCCACCAGCTGTAATGTCTTTCCACTGACCAATAAGCTAAACAAATTATGATGATACTATTAGTTATTAAATTTTGAATTAGATATTAGACGTTAAATTTATATTAAGAATAAAGAAAATATACCTCTTCCTCATATTTATAAAAATTTGGTATCTTTTTTAATGAGAACTCACAAGATCCATAGGCGCGTAAAGTATAATATATTGTATGTGTCTTTTCATATTGGGATATAACTAGAGTATATCGAGTATCGCTTTGAGGATCTAGTTTTATTTTACAAAGATAGTGTGGACTATTTATTCTTACCCCATCGATATATGGCGGTGGATCGTCTACATGTATAATTAAACATTTATAATTAAGTTTAAAACTAAATTAACTTTAATTAAGTTTGTTTTAAATAGAACAAAATCATAAATTACTTTACTTACGGGGATAATACACTCTTTTTCCGTCATTTCGATAAACTAATACTGTTATGTATTCTTGATTTTGTCTAAAATCTGCTATATCTGTAATGTGTCTTGTAAGAAGAATCCATAGAGCGCCATTAACGTTCTTTTTTACTTCTAGTAAAAATTGAGGATTATCACCAATATTATATGCATCTTTTACTGGTCCTATGCCTGCATTCCACATTCTATAATAAAGGATTTTTATAAAAAGACTTATGAAATAATTTCATAATCGTTAATAATTTGTGCAATCATTTTTAATTGAACAATGTTATTTATAAAATCATTAATAACTTACTGATGAATGCAATAAGTGTAATTAAATAAACCTGGATTCCAATTTAAATAAAAAACATCGAAAAATCGACATATACTATCGTAATCAATCCAGAAAACTCCGTTATCGAATTGGGATGCAGAATCTGGATCATAATTTAGTGCTTCTTTTAATTCACTTGTCCAATGTACTCCATCAAGTTCAGAATAATTTCCTTTCCATCGTAAATGTGACCAAGGATTTTTAAGTTGTAATAGTCTTTCATCCTATAAAAATATATCCATTTTATGTATAAAAACCTGTGTTTAAGATATATTTTAAATAACCAAGAAATAATTAATTACATTTATTCTTCTAACATCGAGAACAGCATAGGCGTGAGTCGGTACAAGACCTGTTCTATCGGCTTCCAAATCGGATAATTCTCCAGTAGCAACTGTTACTAGTACATCTCCTTTGTATAAACGTGTTAATAACACATTGAATAGATTGTCCTTATTAAAATCAGGCTCACCAGGTCTTATAGCCCACCTTTCTGGTATCCAGCCAGTTAAAGCATGTAAATCTATATTCTGAACAATAATATTTCATTGTTAAAAAAGATAAACCATGTTGTGTGCTTATTATCTGTATAATATAAATATGATATAAAAATAAATTTACACTATTTGACCCAGGAAAATCATAACCACCCATTACTTTCATGTATGCCTTCTCGAGCAACGAGATCCACAGCTCACCGTGATTGCTAGAGTAGGAACAAAGTAATTGGTTGTATCGGCTTACAGGCAATAAGTCATCTATTATAACTTTGCGTGGAACACCGTTAATGTGTAGTTTCACCATGTATTTTCCTAATATAAAATACTCCCAATTTAATTTTTTTTTCTTTTTTTGAAATATGCTAGGAAAATTATAAACCATTGATCCTTGAAATTAAAAAAATTTCATGATATGTACAACAATGTATAAATTCTTACCAAATGGATTGTATATCGGCTCTTTGTTTCTATTCTTTGGATAAATAATAGAGGTGATAAGTCTACGTCCGAATCTTTTTTCATATTGGGCACTAACTGCGAGAGAAGCAACGAAAGAACAGTCAGAAACAACCTGAAAGTTTATAATTACATTTCAACACGAAAAAGATCATTAATTTTAAAATTAGTTTTGTTTTTTACTGACTGTCTGCTTGATACTATAATAATCAACATGGCTTGTTTTAAGCATTCTTGGGTCAGAAAATAATTCTTCTGGTCGGCACCATTTTGCAAAATCAGGTTTCTGTTTTGGTGCTAATGCTAATAAACCATCTTTGTCAGTAAACGGGATAGCATACTGAAACTTTTCAGTAAGATCAATACTCATAAAAGGTACAAATTCATGATCATTGACGTGAGAACTATGAAGTAAAACTCTTTTCTCTTCTTCTGTGTAATTACTACTGCCACCGCTCACTTTCAGATGTGCACTGCTTCCTCGATGAAGAGGTGGTCGAGATGATTTGCCTGAAAATTAAAAAAAAAACAAAAAGAATGCAACTGAACAAAAATGAATTTTTTACTGCATTAACATGGTAAAAATTACCTGTATTATTAGACTCTGTAATATTAACTTTTGTAGTTGTAGATGATATTTCATCTATATCTTCATCCAGACTAGTTTCAGGTACTGGAGGCAATTTCGAAAGGGTTTTAAAAATGTCATTACTGTCCACTGTTCTCAAACCTTTCAGAGATTCTGCCCTATCAAGAGCAAGCTTTATAAGAGCTGTTAATTTAGCTTTTGTCTGTGTGTCACTGGTTTTCTGTAATTATACTATTATCAATAGAATTATAATAATGATTGATTTTAACAATTGTTTTATGTACCACGCTAAGTCCTAGTTCAGCAGCATCTGTATATAATTTTACAGCAATGTCCTTCAAACCAGCTTCGTCAGCATCTTGTGCTTGATTCATAAGAAATTTGCATTTTTGTAACTTAGATTGATCTGTAGGTTGTGCTGTATGACTTTTTTGTTCTTCTTCGCTGACTATAACATGTTGTTCCTTATGTTTATAAATATATATCATGAGCTAACTTGAAACACTCACCAAGTTTCTGTATAGTTGTTATCCTCTCTTGATATTCAGAAATTTTTTGATCGTACACAGGGTCTTGCAGTTCCACAAGATATTTTACAGCTACGTTATAATAATATAAGGCTTGCTTGTACTGATTTTGACTATCAAATTGTACTGCCTTTCTTGCTGCATTTTGTGCATCCTCTAATGTCATTTTGTATATTGTTATTGTAATATTGTAATTATTATATTAATTATGTAAATAATTCTTTTATTCCGTAAAACTTGCTTCTACATAATATTTATTTTTTTACATAATTTCCAAACATTAATTTAAATATTACTTAATCTGTTAAATACATTTGTTTCCTCTGCATATTAATAATTTTATGTGTACATATATATATTTTTCTAAATTGTATTAAATAATATTTTAAATTTACTGAAATGATTTCACAACCATTATTTCCATCTATAAGATAAACATTTTAGGTTAAGTGTCACTCCATTATCACAGAATAAATTATCTGATTAACGTCGAGTGCATTGATTATACAGTATTGTAGATAGCAATCTTCTTTTCCATGAAATATAAGTAAGAAATGTGTCATTATCATAAAACGAACAAACACGAAAATTATAAAATAATTGTTGTCGATTAAATAATTAATATCTACAAAAAAATTAATCGCTTAAATATCACTTCTGGCATTGCGAACAATCAATATTTTTTCTTAATTTTTTTTTATTCAATACATGAATTTATATTTATTTCATTTATCACAATCTAACTTATTTTTTTTTTAATTTTATTTCATTAGAAATGAATTTACCTTATTGTTACAAGATAGAATCAGATTTTTAAAGTCATTGAATATTGTCCTTTACATTTACTTCATATTCCTTTATACACATGTATAAATATTATGGGTGTTAAGTGTCTGCATTGTGTTACGACGCGGCAGAGTAGAAAAAACACGAATACAAAATATGGCAAGCTCGTCGAGGTAAATTTTGAGAAAATCTCACTTTGACGATTCGATGTCGATAAAATTTATCACAAATCCGTTTTATAAATCATAATAATTCGTGATTGGACTAAATAAATTTATAAATACCATAATGTTAGAGGTTATGACCACTAGATCTGACAGTAACATTGTTTATTTTCGATGTATTTTAATGATAAATTATTCTGTTAATTACATTTTCGCGTAGTTCACTTTTTAAATAAGAGACAAACTCTTATTAACTCATGTTAACAATTAATGTACATAAATGTGTAGGTGAAAATAAAATATTTTAATTTTTAAAAAATTTTTCCGACACAGGTATTTGTAAATGCGTTATTAACATAGTAATTGGTATTCATTAATTTAGTGCATGAGTACACTAATGCGTGGTACATATTTTCTTAGTTCTTTCTTGCAGACATGAAACAAACAAAGTTTGCTGTTATGCTCATCCAGATGCACCTCTTATTGAAGACTACAGAGCTGGAGATCAGATTTGTTCAGAGTGTGGATTGGTCGTAGGAGATAGGTAAATCTACCTATTTAATTTAAAAATAATATATGTATAAATTAAAATGAAACTTATTGTTTTGTTTTGTCTTTTTAAATAGAGTGATAGATGTTGGTTCAGAATGGAGAACATTTAGTAATGAAAAAGCTGGAGTTGATCCATCACGTGTTGGTGGACCAGAAAATCCACTTCTAAATGGTTCAGATTTATCTACTATGATTGGTCCTGGAACTGGTGCTGCATCATTTGATGCCTTTGGTGCTTCAAAATATCAAAACAGACGTACAGTAAGTATCATCATATTATTCTATTTATAATATACATTTTTCTTGATTAATCAACGACTTGTATCCTTTTAGATGAGCAGTTCTGACAGAGCATTGATCAATGCATTTCGTGAAATCAATGGAATGGCTGATCGTATTAACTTGCCTAAGACTATTGTCGATAGAGCAAATAATTTGTTTAAACAAGTACACGATGGCAAAAATTTAAAAGGTCGTGCAAATGATGCCATTGCCTCGGCTTGTTTGTATATTGCCTGTAGACAAGAAGGTGTGCCCCGTACTTTCAAAGAAATTTGTGCTGTCAGCAAAATCAGTAAAAAGGAAATAGGAAGATGTTTTAAACTGATATTGAAAGTACTTGAAACTAGCGTTGATCTTATCAGAACTGGAGACTTCATGTCAAGATTTTGTTCAAATCTTGGACTTCCTAATATGGTGCAAAGAGCTGCCACGCATATCGCGAAAAAGGCAGTAGAAATTGATATTGTACCTGGACGATCACCGATTTCGGTGGCAGCAGCTGCAATCTATATGGCATCGCAGGTATATATATTCGATGAATTTGATGAAATTGAAAGAATATTCTTCCAATTTATATTTTTATAATTTTCATGGATTTGTTTTATTATTCAGGCATCGGAAGATAAACGATCACAAAAAGAAATTGGTGACATTGCTGGTGTAGCTGATGTCACGATCAGACAATCATATAAGCTAATGTATCCCCATGCAGGAAAACTGTTTCCAGAAGATTTTAAATTCGCAACACCTATTGATCAGTTACCGCAAATGTAAACTTGAAATTTTGTGTGTCTACGTATATTTTATCATGTTGAAACAATAGTTGATTTCTAAATAATTAATGATTTCTAAATAATTTAACCTTTATTTAGAATATACATTCCTTGATAATTTATGAGACATTGGTATTATATAATTTATTCTCTTTTTTTTAATGTTATATTTGGTTCTTACTGCATTGATATTTATAATAGTAGTATCTCAATAAATTATTTGGCGTAGACAAGATAAAATATCTATATCATAATCGGGGCGTTTCAACATGTTAAAATTATTAAAAGTTTAATCAATTTTGTTGTAAGTTTTATATTTGATACCAAAAAAAGTATATTGAATTTTGAAACTCTGTAAACAAAATTACAAATTAGGTTGCTTAATAACTTTATATTAATGTTTTGCTTAAAACGCTGCAGCACAATATTTTTTACGTTTACAATAAAAAAATAACGGAAATTAAACTGTGAAATACAACAGACCATTTGAAAATACCACGCAATATAATTGTATGATAAATTCTGTGATACTTTTACTAAATAATATAAGTGCAAAGATTTACAACTAATGGAGTCTAAAAGTAAGAGTGACAATAGCCTTTTCTGACTCCAAGTGTGTATATATATTTTATTTTTCACTCGAAATTTATATAAATATCATATAAGCAAATACACACAAAAAATTTTATTTTTAAAATCAAACAATTATTATCTTATCTATTTCTTCTTTACTCTTGTGCTAATGTTTTGTAAACTAGTATACATTATTATCGTACATGTACATTGTAATTTATAAAAGTAGTAATCTATATAATTAAACACCAATATTACATACAGCATTGTGTTTAAGAAAATGATATTAAAATATTTTTAATATTGATAATATTTGTTCATCTTTATATTTGGTAATCAAAAATCTGTTGTTCTTCCATTTTTACATAACATAGTTCTTTCATTTTGACATAAGATTTGCATATCTTAAGTTCATGCCAGAATATATATCAATAAAGAGAATTGTTATCATTATTTGAATTATTTGATTAATACCTATATTGTCCCATGTACAGTTTAATATTGTATAAATAGGTGAGTAATTATATCTTTGTATTGTCAAAAATGTGTCAGCTATCATGTGACCTACTATCACTTACAAAACTTCAATGTAGACTGCATAAATGAAATACGTAATAATTAATCTTTATAGTATAGATAATAATTCTTTAATTTTGTCATATCCTTAATAAATATCTTTGAGAAAATGATCTTTAAAACATTATAAGTTTATGCAACATAGTGTAAAGTTACATAACCTATATAGCATTTAAATTTAGGTGAATTTTGGTAAAGTTTTGGTATCGTATTTTTTACTTTTGTCAATAAAAAACAGTAAAAGATGAATTCAATACCTCCCACTAAACCTCCAAGAGGTATTAAACCAACCAAAGAAACGGTAAGTTTATTAGCTTTTTATAATTGTTTATTTTAACATTGTTTGAGTTTTAATCATATGTATTTTGCAGAGTGGTTTATTGATCTCTGTAATTCGAGCTTTGTCAGCAAGTGAAACTAATGAACAACGAGAGATAGAAAAAGCTAAACTTGAAAAAGAATATAAGAAAAGCGATCAAAGGCTTGATGAATTGGTATCATTACATGATCAGGATCTTACAGAAGTCATGCAAGTAAATATATATTAGTGTGTAATTTAAAACAATGTTTGTATTTATATATATTTATATGTGTTTATAATGTTAATGTTTTCGCTATTTTTCCTTGTAGATATTTAGTGCTTTATCAGAAAAGGTAACAGCATCTCGGGAAAAGATTCATGCGGTTAAAGAAAATTTGAACGCCTGCAAGCAATTATTGAGGTGTAAACGAGAAGAATTATTAAATTTATGGCTTGAGGGCATTGAGCACAAACATGTGCTACATCTTTTGAAGGATGTGTAAGTTACTCAGCTTTCTATAAAGGAAAAAAAGGAAGAAAGGTTCTGAATTTGATTCTTTTCTTTCTTTCTTAAATTTTTTTAGGACTCCTGACTCTTGCACCAGAATGTTACCTTTACCAGAATCAGACACACTGTCAGTATCTACGTCATATAATGCAGCATCAGATTGATAGTTACTATATTTATTTCTAATAACCATAAGTTTAATTAATCGTAATTTAATTATTTTATATTTATAAAACTGTACAAAACACGAAATCAAATAAATAAATTACACAGATTTGCATTATATAAAGTGGTAGTGTTTCCATATTTCATATAATAATCTAAACAATAGGCAAGCACAATGTAAAGTATAATTTCATATTTTCCCGCCGAAACTTTTGCTCTATGTGTAATTACTACCAAATTTTTGAATCATAAATAATGATATCACATTTGTTCAATGAATGACAACTGATTTTAAGCCTTGGTTTTAAGTACTATTAAATATCTTTATTTAAATATGTATTACTAATATCTTAAACAATTCATTATCTTATCAGTTAATGGTTCGTGGTTATATGGCGCACGACATTTTTGTTATTTTATGTACATTTTATATCATAATTCTATGCAAAACGTATGCAAATAATAGAGCACATATGCAAATCATAAGTTCTCTTTTTATATATACTGAAAATTGACGAATCTTTAAAACGTATATGTATATCGTAAGTATTCGAATATAACATATCGTATTATATCGAAAACTTTTTATTGTTTTCATAATTTCGTGTAATTCTTAAATTTTTGAAAAATATGTTCTAAGAAGTTAAACAATTTTCCTTTTATCATTCAACATTATTGTATGAAGAAGAATTCTAAAAAATGTTTTTTTTCGACTTCTATTTGAATACGATGCGCAAACATTTCCCACTTATATTTTCCCAACTTGCAATATTTGTACTATTTTTTACTAAGCTTAAAAAGAAAGCATTTATTGTTGCAGGTAGAGATGGGAACATTGGAATTAAAACAAACTTTAAATGGTCATAGGGGAAGGGTGTGGAATGTTTGTTGGCATCCAAATGGCACTTGCCTTGCATCTTGTGGTGAAGACAAGACAATTATAATATGGGGACAACAAGATCCAAAATGGGTTGTAAAAACCATTCTGACAGAGGGTCATACTAGAACTATAAGAGAGATAGCGTGGTCTCCTTCTGGGAATTACATAGCCTCTGCTAGTTTTGATTCGACCACTGCCGTATGGGATAATAAGTCGGGACAATTTGAATGCAATGCGACATTAGAAGGGCATGAGAATGAAGTGAAAAGTGTTAGTTGGTCTTGTAGTGGCCAGTTGTTAGCTACTTGTAGCCGTGATAAATCTGTTTGGATATGGGAGGTAAATGATGATGAGTATGAATGTGCTGCTGTTATTAATGCTCATACTCAAGATGTGAAGAAGGTAAGTAAACATTATACATTAAGTGGTAACTTTGTAGTCAAACAATCATTATCATTTGTATTATAACTATTTTATGTTAAATGTGAGTGTCGTTATTATTATATTATCAAAATGTATCATAAACATATGAAGTATATGTCAAAATGATTGTAGGTAAGATGGCATCCTAATGAAGAAGTTGTTGCTTCTGCCAGTTACGACAATACAGTAAAAATGTTCAAGGAAGATCCAGGGGATAATGATTGGTCGTGCATAGCAACATTATCATCCCATACATCAACAGTTTGGAGTCTTGCGTGGAACAAGGAGGGTAATCAAATTGCAACATGCAGTGATGATCAAACAGTGAAAATATGGCAAGAGTACAAGCCTGATAATGAACCAGGAATCGTTACACCAAACAATGAATCCGTTTGGAAATGCGTGTGTACAATAACTGGTTATCATACAAGGACAATTTATGATATTGATTGGTGCAAGACAACTGGTTTACTAGTGACTGCATGTGGTGATGATATTATCAGAATATTTAAAGAAGACAGTGACTCCGATCCTCATCAACCAAGTTTTACTATGGTTTGTTCTATGGATACTGCTCATACTCAAGATGTAAATTGTGTGCAATGGCACCCCACTATACCAGGACAACTTGCATCAGCTAGTGATGATGGTTCAGTGAAAATTTGGTTTTATAATGAATAAATGTTACTTTATGTAATTTTAACAATAAATAATTAACAAACTATTGATTTATTTTGTTTGTTCCTTCTTTTATTAAATTAAATATTAAATATTAAATTAAATGTTACCATGTACTATATTTTGTAATAATTACAATTGTTTTGTAATTTGTAACAATATACGTATATAATAATTTGAAACAACTAATAATAGTCTTGTTTTGTTTCTTTTTTTAGGTTACTATAAATGTTCAGACATTTGAGAGAGCTAAGACAAAGTTGTAAAGGACTAATTTCTTATATAACACTCGAACATAATACATTCTGTACAATGAATACTGATACAAAACTGAATTTTGGAACTGGAGTGCCTTTAAAACAAGTCGTAGATACAATGCAACAGTTTGCTGATCTATCGCTTGCAGCTTCATGGGATAATGTAGGATTATTGATTGAGCCTACAGAAACTAAACTAATTTCACACATTCTTCTAACAAATGATCTGACTGAGAGTGTAATGCAAGAAGCTTTAGACTTAAAAACAGACATGATTATTACTTATCATCCTTTAATATTTGCTCCTATGAAATCTGTAACAACTCGGTCATGGAAGGTAATGGGGAAATTCATTACTGGTCTTTTAAATTTATATCAATTTCTATCAGTTATACAAGAATTTTTTTAGGAGAAGATCGTTGCAAAATGTTTAGAAAATAGGATAGCTGTATACTCTCCGCATACAAGTTTCGATTCAATAAGAGGAGGAGTAAATGATTGGTTGGCTTCAGCATTTGAAAATGGTAAATTTAGATACCGAAATGTTTCTTCAGAATTTTGATATTATTTTGCAATTAATGATATTATGTATTTAAGTGCTTAAAAGCAGTGCACCAATTCAACCAAATGCAAATGATAGTAATATTGGTTACGGAAGAATGTGCATTTTAAAAAATGAAATTTCTATAGAAGAAGCTGTGCAATTAGTGAAAAAATGTACTGGTTTGAAGTATGTTAGATTAGCCCGCAGTCACCTAACAGGTATCGATTTTTTTTTTAATTTATTAGTTATTTTGTAAATTTTGAAACGCTGTAGTTTAACTTTGATTTCTCAGATGGATTAATTAAAACTGTCGCGATTTGTGCTGGGTCAGGAGGATCCATTTTAAAAGGTACCTCTGCCGATCTGTATCTTACAGGAGAAATGTTGCACCATGACGTTCTTGATGTAACGCACCAAGGAATAAACGTGATTCTAACAAATCATTCCGATTCCGAACGTGGTTTTCTAAGAATATTTGCATGTACCTTAAACGATTTGTTAAACAAATCCGTGTTAATAGAAGTATCCAAAAATGATGCTGATCCTTTGAGAACTGTGTAATTTGAATAAAAAGATAAAATAAAGCACAATTACACCGAATATGAACATCGGGATGGAAATATACGTTACACGTGATAAAAGTTTATTATTAATATTATATAAATTATCTGTCCTATTTAGGGATTGACAATTTTTTATTTCAATCTGGTAAAGTTAGTCAGAGAGAAGATAAGTACATAAATGAATCATCGTATATTGCGATTCAACAGAAACCATTTACAACTATAACAGAAAATGCGTCTCAATTTTCATGTATAACGCGCTTAAACTACTTTTGCAATTAATCTTTGAACATGTGTAACCATTATAGAATCAATTTTAATTTGATTACTGAAATATTCTTTTTTTTTTTTTTTTGCACTTAACATATCATTCGCCCGTTTATCATTTTCATTATCTCACTGGCATTCACTCAAACACACGCACATGATGGTTACGAGGAGAAACTTGATTTTTAACAGTGTACATACGTAACCGACGCTTATTGAAAACTTATAACTAAATAAAATATAACAGTCGTTATTCTGGTCCAATTAGAATGATCTTAATTTTGGGTCCACGCGTCCAATTCTTTTTTTTTTTCTTTTTCTCTTTTTCTTCTTTTTATCGACATTGCCATTTCTGAGCTGGCATTTTTTAGTTTTTGCCTAACGATAGATGAGAAGTGCTTAGTTACCTCGTAGCGAAGAGTTTCCTTAAATGTAACTCGATTCTTGTATCTGAACGAAGGTGAACTTACGATACTAACAACTGATCTCTCGCTTTCATTTTACTATTATGATACTCTGTTGTTTTTCTTCTGTCTGTATATGTGTGTACACGAACGACAGTATGCGTTAATACACGATGAACACGTTGTAAACTGTAAGTTTTCTATCATCACCCTGAGCTCGGATGCCCCCCCCAAAAAAAAAGAACATGGATCGTGTGTTAACGTTTATCGAGAATATTTGCGGAACAGACAACGTGAAACTTAAAACCGAATGGGTACATGATTTCTTTTCTTTTTTTTTTTTTTTTTCGTTTTAATTTATAGTATCCGTTGTTCCTACTCGGTTATCTCCTCACCTTTACGTTTCGAGTTTAACGTTTTCTATACTGCGATAACAGATTGCGATTTACCGCTAATCGTGATTCATTCCAGTTAAATCAAGACCATATTATTAGAAATTTTGTTCTGCCCCCGCTGAGGAACTCTATGATCGTTCCAAAAAATATTAATTTAAAATTCAAGCGATCTCTACTTATATTTCTGCGTATTAATAATTTGTCAACCGATCAACATCTCGATCGAATTTCCATTTTCAATATACCGTTAATTTCCTAGGTATGTTCGTGTTAACCTTGACTAACTTTTACAGCGATTCTAGTACAGCGAACATAGTTCAATGTCTTTTTCTTCAATCCCCCCCCCCCCCCCCATCGAGAAACCGTTTATTCATTTTTTGGACAGATATTTTCATACAACACAACAGAAGAATAAATAAAACGAACAAAATGAAAATAACGATTGCTGTGCTTTTTGTTTCTTAACATTGCTGTTAGTTTGTCATCACTGTCCTTTTTAGGGTGAAACGCTCTTTTATTCTCGCCTGAAGCTATGACTCGCCGAATATCCAGATCGAATTCGAAGATTTATCCAGATTTATTTCGTGCCTTTAATCCGGACTCTCAGTTTACATTGATTGGAGACCAAGTTTACGCTTTCTCTTCTCCCGTTCTCATCGTCTCGCAGATCAAACAAATTTTCCCTAACATTTCTTCGTTCTTTAAAGAGTGTAACATAGGGTATATACCATAGAGTGAGTCAAGTACAATGTTATACGCTGGTTTTTCAATAATTATTACATACATTGATTTCATATTTTAAAATTAAGCAATCGTTGCAATAAATTTTTCTAGGACAATAGTTCAAGAAATGATTTTTTTTTCTTATTCGTTTTATATAGGAATGAGATATTTTCTTTATATTCAAATTGGTTAATGACTTGTTGAAAGCATAATATATGGCAAATAAATATAGTCTATTAGTTCTGTTTAATTAAACAAAAAATGAAATCAACATGTGCAGTAATTTACGAAAAAATTCACTTATAACGTTATACTTTATTCACCTCGTATAAGAAATCGTTTATAACGAAACTATAAAATCTTAATCGTACGCCAACAATAATTCGTACATTTCCTTCGGCAAGTATAATGTATTGTCTCATAACTGTAACGTAGTAAATAAAATCGTACTTTATTCAGCATTAAACGGTTCGTCTTCAGCGAACTATTATTACCATTGACAATTTACTTTTTTATTTATTTTTTCTCATTTTTTTTTTTTTAAGATGTTCCAGAATTGAAAAATCAAAATAAAAATTGATTTTAATACTAACAATTATTAATATTTCATAATGCATATACAAATTATAGCCATATTTTGGAAAAGTCTGTAAAGAAACTATAAAATTATCAACTGAAATCATTATTTGTCCATAAATAGTAATGATGGAATCATTCCAATTCAAACTGAGTGAAATTTGATCGAACATTCATTACATTTATTGTTAAATTAATTTAAAATCATTATTTATCCATAAATAGTAATGAAGGAATTATCCCAATTCAAACTGAGTGAAATTTGATCTAACATTCATTACATTTATTATTGTTAAATTAATTTTAAGTTATTCAAAAAGGAAAAAACGTATTTGACAAGTGTTTCTTCTTTCATTATCTTGATCCACGAAGTAAAGGAAATATGATTTGATTGTTCAATTTCGGGACATCCTACACATTAAGTCTTATATTATTTCATTATAACAGACTACTTTTCTTATAATGCATTCAGCATCCGTTGTGCCGCAATATGGTCCGATTCCACCTTCACCATTCTGCCTCCCTCCTTCACAGACCTTACTCCATGTTCTTGATTCAATAATATCACTTTACCATTCCATTTCTCATCGATATCTTTTCTTTTTTAACGTGATTCGTATACTTTCAAGATGGTCGTCACTTTCTCCTCGTAGCAGCCACTTCTCAATGTGGGCCTAAATTCTCGATTTTCAGAAGCCGGCTACTAGTGACGTGTTAATTTAATCTGAAAAAAATCACGGATAATCACATCGTTAAAACATGAAATCTATCTATCTTTGTCTATTAAAGAATCAATTATTCGCGAATTAAACACGGCCTTTCAAGTTAAATTTGCGTGCTTAATTGTTCGTGTCAACGGTTCGTAGAACGGATCTCGCGAGAAGAGGGTGTAAATATCACATTTTAATGAACTTTCGCTCGCTGGTTAATAGCGTTTTAAATATGAATGATTTATGAAGCCAACAGGTTAATGGTTTAGAAGGTATTTAACGGTACAAAGTTTTAAAGAGATTTTGTTAGACCAACCCTGTCCGAGTTAAGTTCCACCGTTTAGAGACTTCCCTTCTTCACTGTTATTATAGATGACGACGAAACGATATCTGAAATACGTGCCCGTGAAACTGTTTCTCCGAAAATTCATTAACATAAAGGATTAAATAGAAGCTGCAATACTTTCATCGTCATTACGTTTGTACATTATGAAATTATACTTAATTGACCTCTTCCACATTACACATGTTGAAAGATCGACAAAGTTTTCTGTCACTCACGTTGGAAATAAAAATTGCGAAAATTCGTGAAAAGTTTGAAAAGTTCGGACAACAAAAATCGCGAAGTAATAATACACACTTTTATTCAACCAGAGAAAAAGAAGTAGAAAAAGCTTGAATAATGGGAATAACGCTTCATTGGTAAACACAGGTATGTGAGATTAATTTTTGCGAACCGCGAACTTTCCACGAGAGAATAGTTCAGAATAATTTTGCAGTTAATTGATCACAACGGACGTGTTCTTCTAATCAGATAAAAATTTCCTTGAAATGCTGTCTACTACATTGTTGTAATCAGGAATTCACTGTTCGCTCGTAGTTCGCGATTAGATTACCAGCAACGCGGCTCGAAGATTTGATTCGAAAGCGGCAGCTGCTCAGCACGTATTCATGCAAAAATCAAATTCCCCTCCCCGGTGACAGTTTCTCCTTTAAACGTTTCCACGATGAGTCGTTAGAGGGAAGAGAGATTTACCGATGAATATTCGAAATGAGTGTCTCGTGATCCCACGACGATAGCTGGGTTCAATAACGATGATTCAGGAAGGCTAGCAGTGTCGTCGAGATCATTACGAATGGCAGATTTGCCAGCCTCAGTTGGCCACCATGTTGCATCGCCGCTGGATGTTCCCCTGCCGAACAATGATTAAAATTCAAATTGAATTCCGTCCTACCATCCGTCGTCTTATTGGAATTGTTTCTCCGCTATCTAACGCTGTATATATGTAATATATATATATATAATTTATATATATACACATACATATATATATACACATACGTCCATCTCTCCGAAGGATGACAAAATCACAAGGAAACAGGAAAAATATGTATAAAAGATGGTCTAGTAAATATCTGCTACGTTAATTTCGCTTATGTCGATGGTTTCTCAAGTTCGAGAATCTAAATTCGTGTTCCGTGAGTTTCTTTTTAAATAGAATTCTAAAAATGAAATAACTCGATCACTTCCGATCCTGAATTTGTAAAATTCTGTAGCAATAAGTACTATATTTTGTAGCTAAAGTACTATATAATTTACTATATTGCATTTAATATAGTAAATACTACGTTATACATATATATATAATAAATACTAATATAGTAAATACTACGTTATATATATATATATATTTTTTACTATATTGTATTTAATATAGTAATTAATATATATATATATATATATATATATATATATATATATTATAAATACTAATATAGTAAATACTACGTTATATACTATATTGTATTTAATACTACGTTACATTTACAGAAGCAACGTATAAATATTGTATCGATTAGAAGATGTTTGAAATTTCATAATTAAGTATTTCATATAGTTGACAAATTATAATTAATTATACTATATTGTATTTAATTATATTTAATTTTATTGTATAATTTATTATACTATATTGTAATACTACGTTACATTTAAAGAAGCAACGTATAAATATTGTATTGATTCGAAGATGTTTGAAATTTCATAATTAAATATTTCATATAGCTGACAAATTATAATTAATTACACTATATTGTATTTAATTTTATTGTATAGTTAGTTATACTATATTGTATTTAATACTACGTCACATTTAAAGAAGCAACGTATAAATATTGTATCGATTCGAAGATGTTTGAAATGTCATAATTAAGTACTTCATATAGTTGACAATTCAGATAAAGCATTGGGCTGCTTTTGAAATCTCGATGAAAATCACAATTCTCCGAGATTTAATGATATAATGATTCCTCTGAAGCTGGCCGACGATCTTCTAAATTTTCAATCTCTCCTGTTATTTTGCATTTTCCTACAGAGATACATAGCGGTCATCGTGAATGTCAGATTCTGTGGTATGTAAACGGGAGACTCGAATTCGAAATTCGGTTAGCCCCTGATCGATTCCGTTTCCCACTGCGTTTCTTCCTTCGTTGCTTTAGATCAGAATTACGCGTCGCTGCGCGAAAAAATAAGAAAATGGGCAAAGGGATGTTCATTAAAAAATGGTAATTCTAAAATGAATCTTGCCACAGCGATTACGCGTTAACCGCGAAAAAACGAAAGACTGTAATTTACTCCTAAATATTCACGAGACTATCAAAAANAAAAAAAAAAAAAAAAAGAAGAAAAAGAAAAGAAAAGAAAAGAAAAAAAGAAAAAAAAACGCCCTTTGAAAGGAGAGCCTGCGCTCTTTCTTTCTTTCTTTCTTTCTTTCTTTTTTTTTTTTTTCTAACACTCAGGTTAATTCCTGTCATCAGTATGTACATCGTTGCCTTCAATAGCTTTCTCGCGCACCAGTAGATTCTTGCGCCCGTGTGAAGAGTTTTCCAACCACACTTCTGAGAAAAAAAAACACATATTACCCCTTACAAAGGGAAGTGATCTTCGTACCTTGAAAGGGCATCTTTGTCTAGATAAAAAAAATTCTTGCCACCCGTACGATGGCCTCTTCTCTTTTCCCTGCGACCCTAACATATTTCTCCGAGTGTGATCTGCGCACTATAATCTGCATATTATATAAAAGATCACATGCTTAAGGAAGCCAGGTTGCCATTTTCTTTCTAACGCATCTCACGATTACCCTTGCGCGTCGTCCATCTCTCCGAAGGATGACAAAATCACAAGGAAACAGGAAAAAATTGCAAAACAAAACGATTTTCGGCAAATTCTCGGTGAGAATAAGGCTTAACGACGAAATAAACGTCAAGTGGTAGGAGAAACACAGTGGAACGTCATTGGGCGAGGATTTGCCGGAGGAAACCTTGAAAATTCCCGGAGATTAGGTCAGAGAATGATCTATGTGAGTCATGATCTAGGCGAGTCGCCTGTGATGTATGCAACGTTTACGTGACAAAAAGCCACGTGACAGGAGTGTCAAAGTGAAACGTGGAGAGGGAAGGGCGACTGACCCTCCCTCCCTCTCTCTCTCTCTCTCTCTCTCTCCTCGTCCTGAACGAAAAGCAAAATCTTTGCCAGGGACTATAGAGGCAACGCTCTGTATATCGATTTTATGATAAACCAGCGTGGGCTGGCCGCCGATAGACGTTTATCTTTCTCTGTCAGACATATCCTGCCCGGTCCTCCCTAATCCGGAATTCCACTTCCTGAAGGCTATCTCTCCGGCAGTATGGTTTTGCTTGGAAAGAGAAGGGTGGCGAGTGGGTGGTGGGAGCCGGGAGGGAGTGGTGACTGCAACAATAGCTGAGCTCAGCTCGGCGGCCCCGCTGCACTCTGAGAAATCTCTTTAATTACTCTTCTCACTCGACTGAATGCTTTTTGCTAAGACCGTTATCTTCTGGCGAGAAACGTTCGGATTCATTCATTCGTTTTGTAAACGTGGCCAAAGTCCGGTGAGAAACGACGAACCACTCCCTTCCGCGCCCCTCTACAGTCGGCGTCGTGTTATGAAATACTGCTCTTTCTCTCTCTTTCTCTATTACCCCTCTCCTCCTACTCTCTCGAACTATACTCTCTCTCTCTCTCTCTCTCTCTCTCTCTCCTCCGCACCGCCGGCAAAGCTTTTTTTTTTTTTTTTTTTTTTTCTTTTTTTTTTTCAAAGGGAACAGAGGAATAGGAGAGGAGTTGGGAGTTTTGCAGCAGAAACACGATTACGACAACGGAGTAGTTTTTAACGAGAATTCATTAACGGGCAGTTAATGGAAAACTCGTGAAATCTCTCTTCCACTGTTTCCTTCGCTTTTAGCGAAAAATTTTTCCCTTTGCCTTCCGTTCGTCTCGCTACTGTCGGCCGGCGTGTTTGATAATTCAATCATTACTGTCTGGGAATATGCTGCGTACGCTGGCAAATGTTGTCACCGTCGATGGAAGTCCGGATCTCTTTGGAAATATTCTATAGAAGGATCGCGGAAGGAACGCGCGACGTATACATATTTTTTTTTTTTTTTTTTTGGTGGATTCTTCGGTCTTAACTTTGTCAACTTTATAACCAAATAGCAGGACTTTAAATGGCACGGGATAAATGGCTAATCTCAATGTTGCAAATTTAGTAAAAACAGAAATAAAAGTTGTTCAACTTTTTCTGAACATTTGAATTTTATATAAACTGTATGCGCTTGAAGTTAGTTCGATTAATTTTTGCGAACACTTTTTCACGCAGGATTGAAAAACCTGTGGTATGGTCGAGATATCATTTCAGGCTCAAACAAGGTATCCTTTGGATCGCAATTTATATTTCTTATTCTTAGTGTAGTAAAACGAAAATGAACGTTATGTAAGTCGATGCGTGAAGGTTCGTTCATCATAACTCGACGAAATAAAAAAAATAAGACGCGGATGAGAAAGAAAACCGAAGTAGATTTTTAATTAACGTTTCAAATAGGTGCAGGTTCAACTTTGTTAATTCTGAACTAATTTATGCAAATGTAAGAAAAAAAGTATAAAAATTTATGTAACGCAATGAATAACAAATCTTGGCGCGTGGAAAAAATTTCTGCGTATATATTAGCTTGCGCTTCAAACTCAGAAAATTATTGTAACGCGGAGAAATTTGAGGTAATATTAACGATTAATGAAACATAATATTCTTATGCACAATGCGACGAAGCATTGTTTTACGTTTCAAGTTGAGAAATATAAATTTTTCGTTTTCGACAGAATCGAACTCGTATAATTCATGCATTGACACGAAAAAATTTCGAATCCGATTTGCTGCAACGTGAGTTCCCAGCCAATTTCATTCTATATATTTTAGATTGATTTTCACGTGTAAAAGTTCCATGCTCAAATGTATGAAGTAACAAATGTATAAGTAATAAGCGTCAACTTTCTTAGAAATAAGCTATTAAACGAATTCTCAATTTATTTTTGGATGTAGAGTAAAACCGCCGTTTTGTTCTTTTTTTTAAACAAATCTTACGTGGATCTTTTAAGTCGTGATGTACTGCCGGTTAATAAAAATAAAAATAAAAAAAAGGAAGAAGATAAGGAGAACGTTTTGGACAATAAAGTTACTCGCGTCTCCTCCGCGTTACATTATATTACACAAAGTGGAAACACCCTAAATAACTCCATTGTTTTTATGGGCGCAGGAGAAGAGCCTTCAGGAGTGAAATTGCATTGTCCAAGAATGATAAGCTCATTTTTATACCTTCTTATGCTCCTTTTTCTTCGCCGTCGCGAAAAACGAAAGACAAGTGGGAGAAAAGAACAGGAATCACTGTTTTTCAACGAGAAAGAAAAACAAAAGAAAAAAAAAAAAAAGAAAAAGAGAAAAAACGCTGTTCCGCGCTGCCGTTTCATCTTCAATTGCCTTTGCCGTTCTTGCGTAATACGATTCAAAATGACCAAGCAGCCTAGAATCGCAAGTGGCGTAAATCAATTTCAACCTCTTGTCTTGGAGAAATTCATACCTAAAGCCCGCTATTCAATTTTAGTGGAACAGCACTGTCGGGCTAATTCGATTCTCCAATTCTTCTGAACCCTCTCGTCCTAGACTGTTCAATTAAGAGGTCAGCCATACTTGAAGGGATTTCCTTCGCTCCCTTAAAATATGAGATATCACCCAAGTCCCACGTTGCGTTTAATAAATTGTCGAAGCTTGATCCGTAAAGTGAACTCAGATTTCATTTTCTGTCCTCGCGACTCAACTTTGGAAACGGACCGTGAAAGTATTCT